AGATTTCAAATTGTTCATTCTTTCTTAAATACTGGACAAGAAAATATATTGTGCATGCAAGAAACCCTAAAAATATCTCAGAACTTGAAGTGATCTACAGGAAAAGTGAATGGAAATTTTGAAATAAAGAAGAGAGGGACTATTGGCTAGATAGAAAAATTAATTAAATAAAAAGTAACATTAACATTTGAGGAAAAGCTATTTTTTAATGTCTGTCCACTGTAGGTGTTTTTGTTTTGTTTTTTACTTTTCATTTAAGACAGATACTGTCCAAATGAACTTTCAAAACCATAACTACAACTGTGATTTTTGTAGAACACTTGTAGTCTTACTAGTTGTAGTCTTTTGTTCATTTTCTTGTATAAGTAACTTGTTCATTTGTAATTTGTCATTTTTAACAATTTTATATCTTATTTCGGAAATATCCTTGTTTGTTTTCGTGACATCCATCAATGAGATGCATTAAGAACGATCTACATAACTAGCCACTTCCTGGAGTTAGGTAACACGTGACTTTGTAGGAGGGAGTCTGCCTTTGCACTTGTGTCCCTCCTCTTTGTGGACACTGCAGCCAATCATTGCACAGAATCGTTCTTACAAATCCCCAAAAGGTGGAACTTCCAAAATAAACCATCGCCCACGACAGGCGGAGCTGCAACACCAGCCCGGGATTCCTCCTTCCACCACAGGCAGAGGCTTCAGCAGCCACCGTGGGCTGCAGCACACTCACACACTGCCCCGCTGTCCCGACTGGTTTCCCCCCACACAATTGCGTGCATGTTTGCAAAAGACAAACTCCAGACTGAAAACCAGCATTTGATCGAAAAATACGGCTGTTTTTAATGCTGTAAGCGCGCATTATAAGAGCCTGCTTTACAAGTCTTTTTTTTTTTCAAGTTTTGTGTAAAAGCATGCAAGACAACGCACTGCGGGCTGTGGAGATCCCCACACACCGAACTACACGGTTAGGAGGATCACCCAGCCCCTTGCACTCAGCGTCAGTCGACGTGGGTATTTGCAGGCTGCACTCTCCAAACAAAAGGGTTCATGGGACAAAAACGCATCATCTGGTAATTGACGCTTCGCCGTAGCCACCGGCGGACACGGTGAAGTAGGGCCTGGGAGGCTAACACTGCATATTTTCTTGGCGGCAAGAGCCGATTCAGTTGCCCTTACTAAACAATGCCAAAGTCAAACGAAACGGGAACTACGGCGTCGCTATATGGAAACATCGGCACAGCGGAGCCACGCCATTCTCCGCGATCCCAAACAACGCAGCCGAAGCAGCCCCATTTTCCTGCAGAGAGGGCGACCGCGCTTTGAACAAATCATATTCTTTGTTTACTTCAGTAGTCTGGAGTAAAATGTCTAACCTGTCTTCACACAACAACTCCCTCTCGCTCTCCCCCTCCCTCTCTCCACCCCAACACACACATACACACACACACACACACACGATCCATTCGCAAACAAGCGTTTCATGCTCACACAACGCTGCAGACAAAATGTTTCGACTTCCAGACAGCGGGATGCCTCAGATCACCACCACGCAGCCCCGGGGAGACTGTTTACCAGCCGACAAAACGACGACCTGCACATTTTGCCATCAACCACGTTATGTTTTTTCCCCCTGCTATTCTGTTGCCGTTTACGAGGATAAAAACCCCCCTTCAATTCATTTCAGAACACAAAAGGCGCCACTGAACGCAACACACTTCCCCCCTCGAAATAAACATCGTTCACTACTTATAGCAGCAATGCTTAAAATATAATTTAGTTTAACCAGCTGTTACATACCCAGGAAAAAGACTCCTTACTCCGGATTCGTGTTTGTAACAAAATAGTTGGAGACGCCCCCCTCCGTCGGCATTGGCGCACACTACAATCCGCGTCATTTTATTTTGAATATCACCCGCTAAAACCGAGGAAGCACCACTGAAGCAGCCCAGTCTCCATCAGATAGAACAGTGCAGGCAGGACTGTCCTCTGAAGTCAACATCTTCACAGTGAAGGGGAGTTATCTGGAGCAGTGATGAAGTGTGTTTAAACAAGTATTTGTATTTTATTTTACTGTAGGCCTACTCCTGCCCACTACATTTCAGAGGGAAATATTCCTATACCATTACCATTCATAACCATTATTAGACAGTTATACTTTACAGATTCAGATTTTACAGATCATATTTTATAAAGCATATGACCCACAAATAAAAGACAATCAGGAAATCTTTCAATCCGAGAAGCTGGACTTTAAAAATTGTTTTTTGGCATTTTTCCTTGAAAAATTAGTTATTTTTTACAGGGGATTTTGCTGTTGTTTGACTAATCAAATTGACCAACCATTTCAGCTCTAACTTCCACGTATTTTTTTCCTAATTTACTTTTATTTAAGTAAAAGATTTGAACCCAGGACTTGTTACAAATAGCCTAGTAACTCTGGTATTACTAGTTTTACTTAAAAGGACCTGATCTCAAATCAGAAACTATGACAAATGACTAATGTCTGTATATTGATCACACTTTGCAATAAAAGTCACTTTTACTCCCAACAGTGTCTTTGTTCTGTATTTTCTCTAGTTATTACCAACAGGGTCACAGGGAGAAAGACGGGGACCTCTGGGAATGATGCTCCTCATCCCTTCTCATCCTTCATTCCCTGTAAATACAAAAATACAAATAATGGTGTCACATTATTTTTTGTAACAGGATCATATATTCTCTGCTAGTTATAAATAGGAAGTCGTTTGATTTTGGTCTAACTCAAATGTTGTTGCATCTGCTTTAGTCAAACCAATAACGTATTTATTTTTTACATAACATGTAAATTTTAACCTCTTTATTTCACCCAGTACAACAGAAGATTGCGTGTTTTAACAGACAGGGTTAGGGTTGAATTTAATATTTCTTGAGATAGTCTCAACTTGTGACCCTGTTAAAACAGGCTTTCCTAAAAGGACCTTTATAGGCACGCAAGGCAGTGGGGTGTCCTCGATAGCTGTACCCTGTAATACTTGAAATGGAAAATAGTCTGGAAAAATAATTGCTATTCATCTATTTTACAGTTTTACTTAAAGTGTTCACTCTGATTACAGCTTTGTACCTGAAGGCCTCTTCGGTGAACGTGTCTATTGAAGCTATGTCTGATGAAATTAAATTTAGATGATCACTAAAAACTTTGCTTTAAATCTTTTATTTCTGAGGAATTTCCTAAGGCAACGAAATGATGAAATGTTCATGAAAAGCTGATAAATGTCAATTTGTATTAACTTTTTTTTTTTCTAAGGGATTAAATTCTGATAAATACACACATAATGAAACTATTTAACCAAGTAGGTTAGACAATCCAGCCCCAGGACTCTAATTTCATACTTGATGGAGCCGCTGCACTTTCTCATCTCTGAATACCTTACTTTTACCTCTTGAGCATTTATACATATGAGTTTTTCATTCTGAGCCCCTGTAAACCCTCCTGTAGATCCTAGAAGTGCTGCTTTGTTGAATCACATGCGATGCAACCCCCTCAGATTTCCTCTTCATCCTGTAAGGTTTGGGTGTAATCGTCTTTCCATTTTCTCTCACAGTTGAAATGTTTCATATCAAAGATTTTCAGGCTTTTTTCTATGTGCTTGCTCCTGCATTGATGTAGTCGGTTGATGGGCTGAGCAGGAGCAGCGAAAGACACTGGATTCTTGTTTCAAAGTTTGGTTCTTTGGTTTCAGCATCTTTGTTTAATGTGGTAAAGAGGATGATTAAAGGTCTTGCGTCTCAAGTGAATCATTCTTGTCATAGCTTCCTCTGTGACCACGTCATCAGGTGTAGGATTTAGAGCCTGAGATTTAGTGACACGTGTCATACAGGCATATAAACAGAGTAATTCAATGAGAAATAAAAACACGTTTGAAATTGCCACAGTGATGGTTTAAGGCTGCTCCACTGAGACCAACGGGACACTGTGTAATAAAGCTGACGATGAATGAAAGCATTTGGAGGAATAGGCATAAACTGAATCTTGCTCTCAGTGAGCTTTACTGCTGCTATATGCAGAGCGATAATGTGCCCTCAGGACATCATACCACACCCAAAAATAAGCATTGTTGAGAGAGAAATACCCACATGCTGCAGAATTCAGCTCCCGGCGTACCTCACGCTTGCAGTGTTACGGCACACTGGGAGCACACATCATTTTGTGGGTATTCCCTTTTCAAGTGTTGTTGCTCACCCTGCTCACTTTGGTGTGGTGGTAAACCCCAGTGTCTCGCTAAATTCACTGTATTTGTGGAGTGAATGCAGCAGTGTAGGAGTGCTCTGTATTTAAAGAGAAACCAGTGATGCTTTGGACCCTCAGTCGTCAGCTGAAATGACTGGGAATCGTTACTTAGCTTTGTGATGAGAAGTTAGACACAGTGTAGGGTCGGTCAATATTTTGTTTGAACATCAGTGTTAATATGAATGAATGATACAGATGGGAGGCTGTACTGAACTTACTCATTTGGGTTAAGATTTGTTTGACTGCTAACTTTATAACAAACAGCAAACACTGACCAACATCAGTATTTGTACATGGAGTTTTGCTTCGAGACACTCGACAACTTTAAATCCAACATTCACACTACTCTTCGCTCTGTTTTCATCTCCATTAACTCATTAAAGGCTCTGAAGAGCGGAGGGGAGCTGCAGAGGTCGGTCACACAGTGATGCTTTTCACCTTACAGTCATTTGACCCAATTTTAATCTAAAAAGATCTATTAGAGCAGCTTTAAAGTTACTTATTAAAATCAAATGAAACCCGATTCATGCATCGTTTATCTTGCCCACTTTTGTTTGCTTCACTGTGAGAAACTCTGTAAACTCTACTTTAAGCAAAGTCTTAATAAATGTATAAGAGTATACCAAACTATGACACTGATTATTGAACTGAAAATACCATAAATAACAAGCTCTCAATTGGTAAATAATTATTGGAAAATAGTATGCCAAAAAAACCACAACCTTCACAAACGTACACGTTGACATGGTTTGTATTTAATACAGTATAGCTTGATTCAATAGTCATATGAATGATAAAGTAATAGGTTATAACAGAACAAATATAAAATTAATGTAGATAACTGTATAATCCTGGGTAATTGTATGAAAACAGTTGTTGAATACAATAGAAAAATAAAATACGGCACATTTTGCGTCCATCATTGAAAGGAAAAATAATTCTAAAATCAGAGTGCATGAGGATGGCAGACTTAAAAAATGCTTCACTACAAGCAAATTCAATATGAATTCTGTAGTAAAGAACACATTTTTTTTTCACCCAGCAACAACATAATGCAACATATGACACAAAGACACTCAGTATTTGTACATGTACTCTATAATAATGGCAAGACATTGGGACCAGATGAAAGCACTGATTACAACCACAGTCTGTAGAACTTAAAGTAACACAATAATAATGAAAATATACTTCAGACAAAATTTCTGACTCTCAAGTGCCCAAGAAGGACTTTATAGGGTGTAGGCACAGACCTGTGCACGCTTATTCAGCTATTCTATCATTAATTTCTGGTTTTCCCTGTAAAATCCTCCTGATTTGTCCCAATAAAGCTCTATGCAGACGTTTACAGTAATTCCAAAATGTCACTAAATGTTTTATATTTAAGCATTACTAAATTTAACAATAACAATCAAGTTATCCCAGCATCACGTGTAGACCTACAGAATTACTATTAAGTTTTATCTGTCATCCCATCCTATCGCTGTAACGACTAATCTCAGAGCACAGTGGGAATAGTTATTTAAAAGTGCTAACACATGATTTGTGTAAAAAAAAAAAAAAAAAAAAGAAAAAAAAAGTATTGCACTACTCATGAGGTCTTAACTGATGACTTACACAGATGTATGCTTCAATGGCTTAGTCACCGCAGCATGGACTGCTCTAAACAAGTGTGTATGTGTGTATGCAAGTGTGGGCGAGGTTGAGCAATACATTCCCACAATCACTAAAGCATGATGGCACTGCTCGTGAGCAAAGGCGGTCATAGACACAGGTCACTGTACTGCAGGTCAGGAAATCTCAATGTTTAGGTGAGACGGAAGGCATCTGGGCTTCAGTGGATACATTGGAAAAACAAAACAAAACAAAACGAAAAACTAAAGAGGAATTCACATGGACAGCAGTTTAATGAGTGATCACAGACGTGATGTAACAGCCATTTGGGAGATTACAGCCTGATAATTTTGGATGTGCTCTTCCCCTCGTTAGCGCCATATTTACTGAGGCAGAGGAGAATGCATCATGCAAGAAATACGACAACTGAAGTTTCTTTTTGGGTAGTCTCACCTCCTTGTGTTCAGTGCGACACTCCTGAGACGATGCAGAGCTAGCTCGTACCATCTACGTAACCATGTGCTAAGAATCCACTGCGGTGAACGCAGCATTGACTGGACACAGGAGGTGAAAAAACTACGCTATTATTGTTGCTTGAGAGTGGTGATTAAACTCTCTGTTTGGAATAAAAATGGTGTGCTTGGTTAAAGGATCATTTCACCCCAAAATTAAAATTGTGTCCATAACTTCTCGTTCATCACTTGAAACTCCAATGAATAAAATTTGTTTTAAAAAAAAAAAACCATAACGTTACCCACTGTACTCCCATCATCATCCCAGCTTAGTGCTTACACCGCATGCATCCGACCAAAATATTGTTTGTGTACAAGAAGTACTTATGTCTATTGGGAATTCATTTGGCCACAAAAAACTGGGACTTTTCTACAGCAGTTGTTAGGAGAAGAGTGACATGGCCATGTTGAGAATTTGACTGAAATTGCAAGTAAAAGTCAAATTCATTGTTTTGTAGCCATAGAAAACTTCAGTGGAATTTTAACTGATACTTGATAAGGGGACAATGATTGACTTTTTATTTTGGGGTGAATTACTCCTTTAAAAAGGTCCCGAAACCATTTGTTTGAAGTGGCATATAAATTAACAAAAGGTCAATGAGCATTACCTCGATCATTTCACCCAATGTCCCTGACCACAGACCACGAAACTGCACAACACTAGAGCAGTGTGTTCACTCTGCCACGTATTTTCTGAGATATGTTCAGCAAAAAACAAAATGTCACATTGTTGGCAGCCAGAATGTTATCAGACTGAAACATCATAATGTCAACACTCAAGCCTTTCACTGTCGCTGTCTTGTCTTGGTCTGCCAATGAAGAATGGCCTAGTTTCAAATGACAGCGTCTGTGAGGAAGTTACTCTCCTGAATTCACTAATTGGTCGCACAACACGGCTGGGGGTTAACAGATCGACTGCGGAAATCGCAGGGCTCACAGATTGGTTCGGGAAGTCGGGGCTGAAGCTCACTGATTGGCTGGGAGCAGGCCCTGTCTTTGGGCGTGCTCCAAAATGGCATTGTAGCAGAAGTAGTACTGGTCCGGGGTTTGAATGCTGAAGGCTCTCTGTGTTCTCATGCGTCGCACCGTCTGGCACACATTTAGTGAGCCCACGTCCTGTAGCTGGGACAGACAGATGTCCAGGGCACAGAAGGTACCTGCCAACAACAGGTAGTTTTTTTTTTCTTTTTTTTTTGAAGTGACACATTTTAAAAAGAGATTACTGACAATGGAGCACAACTGTTCTTACCATCATGAAAAAAAAAATGAGGCTTTGGTGAAACACTCTGTGTTATCCAGATTATATGACTCCTGAAGTTCATAGTATAATTTCATAACTGGGTGTCCAACATTTTTCAGTCCTTGAAATACACTTACTTACCAGTGTATTAGGTACGCCGAGCTGAAGCTAATGCAGTTCAACACAAAAGTCCTAAAATAAATCCTTCCTTCGTGAAGGTTATAGTATTCAGTTTTCATTGTACCTGTTTTAGCGAGGTGTTTATTCAACTTTATGATCATTTTAGAAGACGTATCTAAACTGTGTTGCATTACACTGAGGTGTTTCTGTAATTTAACCTACTCTAATTAATATGACAGGGGTGGACAAAAATAATCAGTATAACGTGACCTTCATGAAGGAGTTATTGCAGGACTGAAGATATGATGGTAAATGCCAATAATCAGACATCAGGCTTTCAGAGAGATGCAATCTCAGGGTCTCACCTGTTCTCCCAATCCCTGCACTGCAATGGACAACCATCGGTGGTCCCAGCGGGTGGCCCGTCCACTTAAGTCCCAAAACCTTCACCATTTTCCTCTGTTGTCTCTTCACAGCTCCCAGGAAGTCAATGAGAGTCACAGCGGAGGTGGGAACGCCGTAATCGGGCCAGCTGAGGTACTGGAAATGACTCACTTGTCTCTGTTCACATGTCTGAACGGATAAAAACATATTTTGACAGTCATCAAGCTTGATGTACATTCAAAAATGCATTGTGCTCTTTAAATATGGCCCCACTGCAACATTGACAGGAATAAGTGAGATGAGAACTGAAACCACTCATGTCGGTAAATATGTATTTAGCTTAGCTGAGCATCAAAACTGGAGGCGAGGGGAAACAGCCAGCCTGACTCAAAGCAAAGTTAAAAAATCTGCCTACCAACACCTCTAAATCTTTACTGCAGAACACCGCTTATCTCATTTGTCTAATCTGTACATAGACAGAAACGTGAAACTGACAATTTGTGGCTTTGATTACTTGGCCCGGAGCAGTGGCTTTACTCGGCCAAGAAGTGGTTCTAGCAGAGTTAGTGTGGGAGAAGGATGTCTGGGTTACACTGCTTACCCTGCTTCCATCTGACCCAGATAAAGAGAGGGAAATGGATCTCACTATAGCAATTTATTGACCAGAATTTCCACTGCAAAAATATTTTTGACCCTGCTATCAGAGTGCGAATTATACTATGACAACTGGGAGGGTCAACTTTTTCACCGGGTGAAAGGGAACCCAGTATAGTGCAGGCGTCAAGGTTAAGAAAAGGTACGGTCCACTTTAGGGGTGTCTGAAATTGTATCAGAAGATTGTTCCAGGCATGAATGTCCAGGTAAGAAGGGTATATATTTCAATCCCCGAACTGTTGTTTTTACCTATTTTGGGGGGGGGGGGGTCCAAGTCTTAATCAGAGGGGTCAGACCCCCCCTCTCTCTCTCAAACCCCACCTGTAATTCGAACCCTGCCTGTTATGCTGTGTCATTTGCCTTGTATGCCATTTATTTTCCCCTAAGTTGTTCGGTGACAAATTGCGTATTGTTGCTAGAAGAAAAACATCATACAGTGGTTCATGGTTCTCTTTACCTCAGTGTTGTGCAGTTCGAGGGTTGTGTGGTTGTAGTGGGTGTGGTGGTCCACTCTTTGGTTCACCACTGCCATATGGCCATAGACCTCTTGTCCCCCTTCCTCCAGTGGCCAGTACTGTCCGCATTTCCTCCGACTGCCCTCGTCTGTCCTGCAGCACAGAGACAGGACTTACTTGATGAAATAAATGTAAGTCATGGTTCTAACCCGACAAATTGTTTATGACTCAACAATAAAGTATGAACTTTTATTGGTGTTTAAAAAAAAAAAAAAAAAAAAATCAACTCAAATTACCTGGTTGTCATGACGATAACAAGCATGTTTTGTTCCCAGACCATTCTCCAGAAATCACTGTAGGTCCTTTCCAATGGTCCTACACAGAGCAACAGGAGATTTAAAGCAAATTAAATATGATGCAGCAGTTTTGACTGCTAGGCCTAAATGGGCAGATACATTTGAGTACGCCAAGCATGTGGTGAAGTGGACCAGACCAAACAAGATTTACATGTCTAAATGCCACTGAATATTAATATCAGGAACTTTGTGATCAATAGCTAAACACAGTAAACTGGAAATTTGTTTGTTATAACTTTAGATTAAAATAGAATTAATCAAAAAATATGAGTCAGTTGTCTTTGTGCATTTGGACAAATTATTAGACAAAAAAAAACATCTTTTCGTATATAATGCGGTCGAAGACAATATTACCAGTAAATATAGCCTCAAAAATTATTACATAGTTGAATCAACACCAACAACATTGTGTCTATCAGAGAATAATATTTAATTATAACAAATTATATTGAATCTGCTCTGATTTTCAAAATTCAGATTTTCTGGACAAAAATAATGAAGTTTCCTTACATATCTTTAGTGATGACACATTTAGTATATAAACACAAATTAGTATTCAAGTCTGCTGTAAAATTTAAACATATTATCTAAGGGCAATGTAAGCATCATTTAAAACAAAATTAAAATGAATTTACAAAGAAGCAAACTTGTTTTTTGCTAACAAAGCAGTATAAGCTCTTAATATTTCAGAGTAATCCAGAGAACATTAACCAAAATTCTGTGATAGCTGTCATACCTTGAGTACCAATGTATGCATTCTTCTGTTTATACCCATCCATGAAGCTGGCATTGATGTAGTCGGATCTCTGTAAGAGCAACAAAGATTTATCCCAAAGATGGAAGGAACCATTGCAACAACTGGAGTATATTATGTAATTTCACTAAATAAGTGAATTGTGCTGTGATCGCAATGAGACTGTAGAGCTCAGTTGTCTACATGAGGCCGCAGGACTATCAAATCATTTTAGAGGATTAAAAGCAGCACAATCGAAGTACTTTGGTTATACTTTTTCTCAGACTGCCAGTATTCTGCTTTACAAAGGAGCTGATATCAGTCCAGTGTGGCAGCCTGTCAAACGTTTGAAGCCTGACACATTTTCTTTTTGGCCGCTGAGTAACCATGAAAGCAACTGGTCTTTTTATTTTGCTATGGCTGACACCTGTAACATGCAGATTCTGAAGAGCACCAACCTCGTTCCTTCTGGGTTTCAAACGAACTCTTGTTTGATCAAGGCACAGCACGTCTCCGTAGCGATTCCTCTCCTGATTATAGACTGCTCTGTAGACAACACAAAGAAATTATGAGTGGCACCTCTGACCTTTTTCAGCAAACAATGATGATCTACAAATTGTAAACCCGATTTCCCAAGTATGTGTTATTTCTGTTTAGATAGCTACATTGAAAACAAGTTACTTTGAAGACAGTAACCATCTCAACCACCCGGGATAAATACATGTTAAAGTAATATAGCTTGTGACAGGGACATGTACAGTGTGTGAGATGAAGGAGCGCAGTGTACATTATCAGAAGCTTAGATTTATCATGTTTTTCTGATGGCATTTTTTGTATAGTCAACTCAAGTCAACTTTATTAACACAGCTTGAGCTGACAAAAGGACAGTTAAAATAAATAAAAGCAAGTAAAACAAATAAGTAAAACACAAGGAAAGTATAGTAAATATACTGTACACAGACACACATAAACATACTAACAAAAACGAGAAAACATGAATTATGAAAGTGACAGACTAAAAGGTTACAGAGCTAAGAAGGCCAGTGAATAAAAATGTGTCTTTAGCTTAGATTTAAAAATATTAGAACAGAATAATAATCGTGATCGTGGAACAGACAGGAGGGATGAGCTTTCAGACCTGAGATTGAGGAGCTGAGTGCCAATGGATAAGATCTGTGATGTACGGTGGGGCCTGACCATTAACAGCCTTAAAACTAATCAGCAAGGTCTTAAACTGAATTCTGAAGTGAGTACATAGACAGGGTATATGTGCTATGGGTTGCATCTTATTTATTTAAAATCTTCAACAAAACATTTGATAACTGCAAATTTTGTCTGTTTCTGCTAGTAGTGTGGGTTTAGATTAACAATCTTAATCATTGTTATTGATTACTTGTAATAATAGTAAAGCACTTTTACAATTTCATGCACCAGATAAACACAAGTAGCAAAAGCCAGGACAGTAGTCTGATGGTGCACTGTGCAATGGTGTCTGAGATTATTATCCATATATGAGAGTGTTTGTTTCATGGGAAATTAAATAAACTAACTGCTTTTCAATAAAGGTATGCATTGAGTATGCATTATGTGTAATTACTCATTTTTCTGAGTAATAATCCCATCTCTGTGACGAAAATGCAGAGCACCAAATCTTAACCCTACGCCTTCAGCGTGTGTGCGCTGCTGTAAACTCACTGTGCACAGTGGAAGGTTCCAGGCGGAGGTTCTTTGCGGAGTTCCTCATACTCCTGATGGATGCCTGAGCGCTGAAGCCTGCCGAGGTGCGTCAGCAGCTCCTGCGGGCGCATGGCCTCGGGTCCGGGAGCGTGAATGGAAGTTTCTTCCAGTGGGATGCCCACCAGCTCGTCCACGGGGTCCACTCTGCCATTCTGGCCGGCCAGTAGCTGCTGGTTCCAGCTGTACGCGTCCAGAGGCAGCAGGCCACCGAGGTGCTGGGGGAGACAGTCTCGGGGGAGGTGTTGGCGCAGCTCGGCCATTTTTACCATCTGAACCTGGAGTTAGATGAGACAGAAACCCAGTGGAGACAGATTTGAGGCTTTAGCTTCATGTTTGAAATGAAACTGTTAAATTAGCCCCAGAATCCTTTGAAGCTTTGAAGTTTTTTTCTATTCTCATGTCAAAAAGTAATTATTAATTGTTCTTATTCATGATTTCATACATAATCCTGAAACAATATTTACAGTTGACCACCGGGTTACACAGAAATCTATACCAATCCCATTCTTCAGAAACAGTAACGTGGCAGGGTGATCGATTCCAGTGATTCAGGCGTTAACATCACGGCGATGTCCGAGGGGCGGAGGGTGGTTAGTGAGAACCGATCACAACAATAACTGACACTGAACTACCTGCTCACTTATTGTTTGTCATTCCAGAAAAACTACAGTGAATCTTTTTAGTAAAGTTTTTAGTAAAGTATCATGATAAACATGCAGCTGAAGAGGTGTATGAAACGTGTGAAATCCCAGCAAGGAGCTCCTCCACTTACTCTCTCCCGAAGTTTCTCCTTGAGAAGCAGGCTGAGCAGATTGTAGGGCACGCGGAACCAAACAGGGGCCCCGACAATCAACACCTTCTTCAGCCTGGCAGGGAACGCCCCCTGGTGGAGACAGACATTAACAGTTTATAATCGAGATTCAACAGGGTTTATTTCATCCTTCCTTCCTATGCCAATTCTTTGTGTCGGAAATAAAGTAGAAAGAAAAGGTGCTCCACCAAGGGTACAGAAGCTCACCCTTTCAGTTAATTACTTCTTGAGGACAAGCATATATTGGAGAGGATCCAAACATAATTTCTTGATACTTTCTCTACTTTATATTGTGGTGCTGTACTCCTGCATATAAAATAAATTCTCCTGAGGACATATCAACTACTCCAGTCAATTTTTCGATCAATATGTGGGCACAAAATAGAGGCCGCTGCTGCTGATGCGGCCACATAAGTGTCTGTGTTATTGACTTCAGATGACATACTACATGACCATTGAAGCATAAATCACTTAGATGCAGGGAGACGTGCAGGTAACTGCCAAAATAAGCACCACTCTGAGTATTACACATCCATGGCGTATGGATTAAATACTTCTTATGCTTGTCACCTCGTTCAGTGAGCCATTCATTCTGCCCTTTGGACGGGCATAAAACTCCTATAAGACACCAGCCTGCTCCTTCCCAGGATGAAGGTTATAGTGCCGCAGTTATGTATTACCCTTGTCCTGGCAGGGAGTGAATCACTTTGAACAACAGCAGAAAATTCAACCGACCTCCTTTCAATATATGTAGTTATGTTTATATCTAATCCTGTTAATATTATATTGTGTATTTCCCAGGGTCATGCATCTCATTCTCTCAGATATTTGTCCTTGTCCGGTACATACATTTAGTCTTACGTGCATATGTGATTCTAACCTTCAGTAAATTGAGGATCTTCTTGCTCAGGTCCAGCTCAAAGTTTGTGTAGTTGGATCCTGCCATGTCGTAAATGAACACCAAGCCATTCCTCTGGGTCTCAAAGCTGCGGAAAAACCAGAAAGGTGTGTGTTTATGTTTATGATATATATTACACAGGTAACCTTTAACTTATGCAGGCAAGTGCAACCCCCTCCCCCTCCTCCCCAACACAGCGGACAGACCAGTTCAGTGAATGAATATGCAATGAATAGTGTGTACAGATGAACAATACACAAAGTGAACAGTTCAACAGTGATTAATAGAGGGGACTTCCTGTGATCATTATAAATGAATAATAACTACAGTGTGGATAGACTAAACAGTAGAATGAGCCACATAAGCAGAAAGAAAAATATGTTCAGGTGAAAATATTCCATAAAGATTAAAGACGGACGATATTCAGGCTGTAAAAGTCAGACCACAGCCCTCACCTCTCCACAGCTCGATCCAGGAGATAGAAGAGGGCCTGCAGCACCACGTGGTTGCCTGTCTTGTTGGGGTGGTGGAGTTTAGCCGTGTACAAGGCGATGGAGGCCCCCGAGGGGTCCCGTACACTCTGAAAGTACACAATACTAACAGGTTACATCAGCCGTCAGCCTCGTGGGACAAGTTATTCACCATTTCACTGCCAACTCTCAAATATCTTGTGCCGAACTGCGCAACGTATACGAGCACCAGGTTACACATATGCAGATAAAAACACTGAAATGTGTGTTGTCCCTTTTATTCGGAAAATGTTGTTTTCTGATCACTTTTTCATGTGGGTGTTGTGTTTTTCAAGTGGATTGACTCAGATGTGTTTTTCATAGAAATCATGTGGCCACTGGAAGGAGATTGCTGGGGTTGGTTTGCAGTGTGACAACAAGGCAGCCAAATGGAAGCTATTCAGAAATGAAGGATGAACAATGACCACAGGGGGGCACTTAAGTTCATATGCTGGTTACTGGCACACTGCCAAAAGGGGCTGTCAACAATTCAGCAGGAGGAACAATTCTTGTCAGTAATGATGCTGCAGATCTCACAGCTCTGCCGTTCTTTCTGAGAAGGACACAGATCATATTTTCATGTCAGAGCTGATCAGATTGAAGGCTGCTGCCGGTGTCGTAAGAACCTGAGGGTCTTTATTTGAATGAAGCCGCCGATACTCCAGAACCGGCCTTTGTAAGCAAATAAGCTCGTGCTCTCGGGCATGGGGGCTAAAAATACCTCAGACAGGATATGAAACCCGCTGCTGAGGCTGGAGAACTCAGACGTCAGACAAGAGGATGTACAGCATCAATGCCACTGTGGCACGTCAATGGGGAAGGAAGAGGGGAAATGCAGGGAGAGTGTGAGTGTGTGTGTGTGTGTGTGTGTGTGTTTGTGCTGGGGAGGGGGGGGGCATCTTTTATGGTTGTGATTTGGTTGACAAAAGGCTAAGTTTATCTGGCACAGGAACACCGGGTTCGACCCCTCAATTCCTGATTATGGGAGTTTGCACTCAGATTTATTCTGCAAACCTTCTTGTTAATGAAACGTGAGCTCATTACAGTTGAAGTTTAAGTTATTGATTGATTGATCCTCGAGCCAAGCCATTTCCTCTACAAGTCCAAAATAGCCTACATTTCTGAAAGGGAACAACTTGTCTGTGGCACTCAGACCCAAGCTCACTGGTTCCTACTGAAAAAAAAAAACAGGTCACAAATAAATAATTTAATTTCTAAAAAGGGGTCAGTAAATCCCAAAACATCAGGGCATTGTGGTTTTTTATTTACTCAAAGAAAAGCATTTATTGGGGACTATTTTCAGATTAATGCGGATTAATACAGATTTAGTGTTCTAAAAGGCATATATGACACCAACATGGTTAATGTGGGCTCTACTCAAAAAAAAAAACTACAGTACACATGTTCATCATAATGAAGGGACATGTGTCTCCAGCGTGTCTCACTGATGTTTCTTACTCATTTTAGAACAACAATGAAGCTGCACGTCACAGAGGAACAAGATCATAAAAGCTTTGGATACACAGACTTGTTTAATTTGTCGTGTTTATAATAAGTATAGAACATCGCCTGTCTTACACTTGTTCTGTTACATGACAAAACACTGGAATATTCCATTTAAGGGATGCCAAATGGTCAAGATTTAGAGGGCCCACTTACCAACACAGTAAACTTTCCACTGAGCAGCTCCGAGCGCAGAGGCTCCTCCTGAGGCTGGAGTCTGACGATTCCTTCTTTAAGACGCGTTTCCTGAAGAAAACAGATCACAGCATGTGAAATGACGCTCTGCTGTTACTATAACAGGCCATCACTTTGAGTTGAATTCTTCCCCTGTGAACAATAGGGAATTGCATGCCTGACTTTCCTGCCAGGACGATCCCTCTCTGCATGGTTTACACTCCCTTTTTTTTTTTCCCTCCCCCACGGAGGTTGTGTGGGAGTTTCTTGAACTTACTGTGAGCCCCAGCTTGGAAGGTGTCATTTCCATTCACAGTTTTATCTCCCGATTTTCTTATTTTTAATAATACGGAATTACGAGGACTGATGAGGTAGGGATCAGCCTCACCTATTGAATTTACACTGATTTTAATGCAGCATTTACTGAGGCTTCTACGCTTGATATGTAGATGTAAACTGCCTTCATTTCAGTTACTGCAGCTCTTTTATTCCTTGTTTCTTTTTTTTTTAAATTACTTTTTTTTTTTTTTACAAATCACATTATTATTGCTATTGAGAGAGACAGGGCAGCCATATTCCAAGTCTTGTAATCAGTGATGCAAATAGGCCTAATGCCTGACAGTAAGATATGTATATGACAACTGACACTGATCTGTCATATCCTGAGAATGATTGATGACACTGAACCAAAAGACAAATCTTGAATGTACTGTGAAATGTCAAACTGTCAAATTGTTCTAGCGTTTGGAGAACAAGCCCACTGAGAGATTACTGTGACACGTTTTCATGGAGATCGTGACAATGCATTTTGGTTTTACAAAACAATCTAGAGTATACTGAACATGAGCAAGAATATACAACATAAATGAATAAGAACAACATAATACAATAGAACTAAAATGATATGATTAAATCTGCAACTTGGAGACCATAAAAGCAAAACAAGGATTTGAAAGATGCAAAGACTCTCTGTAGAGCTGAGGGGAACTGTTCAGGGTTGGGTGTGGGTTTGTCACAACGAGGAACTTCTGTCACATACAAGTATATATAGATTATAGTCGCTTTAAATAACGTCTGTGTATAGGCTCACAGAAAGGTGTGAATTATTAAGAAAATCAATCATAAAAAAACATCCATTCACCTATTCAACATCTACTTTTCCCCCCTCTTTACTTTTCTAGTTAATCTTGTCATGATACATTTTTCATGTTGTCTATATCTGAACTCAATATGCAATAAATTAAAGCTTTGCAAACTAGTACAAACCTCTGCATACTTAGAAAGAAAAAACTGCTGCACCAAAGAAAAGAAAAATTAGTAAAAGGGAAAGTTATTATATGTCCATGTTTTCCTCATGTTTGTTAATTCACCTGTTAAAAATTTTTAAATTTGATTATATTGTTTTATTTTTGTTTTCATATTTTTTTTTATGTTTTCTTTGTGTCTGCAGCTGGAATACTTTTTCCTATTTTCAACTGTCTGTTCAATGTTGACAACCCCAGTAAAAATAGTTGTTAAAAAAAAACCTGTGTGTGTGATAGTAAGTAGGACACGTGAAGCTCTTTTGTTCAGTGTTTACATGATCTTAGATTATGTTCTTGGCACTAAACATGGATTTCAGTTACTCAGTTACTAAGGAACAGCTTGTTGGCATTCAACCAGTCCCGCTCAGTTCTTAAACCTGTGCTGAAGTCGGGAGTGCTGAGTTTTAATAATATGTGATATTGTAAGAATTAGTATAAATAATTCATACAAATACATTTCAGAAACTTTGTTTGTGATGCTTAATTGTTTATCAAGGTGTGAAGATTAATAGATAAACAGCAAGTCACAGTAGATGATACAATATAGATGATTTATGCCAAGTCTTACACCATCGACCACCTCTTTTTGAATGCCAGCTCGAGCCTGTTTGTACCCCCCCCCCCCTTAACAAACCAAACAAGGATTGCACTGCAAACTTTCCCTCAAGTTTGTTCTAACAAATTACTTGTCCCCAGCCTCTGTCCCGGTGCTGACACAGCATTAAACTGAGTTAAATGAACTGTGGTGTGGCAAGGGGGAGTCTAATCCTTCTCAAAGTCACACTCAAGGCTTTCAGAAATGTGTTGTGTTCATGCAGGCCAACCATTCATCGCGAATAATCAAATAAGAACCCACCTTGGTGACTGAAACAACTTCACTAAAAAAAAAAAAAAAAAAAAAAAGGTAGGTGGTAAGATCCCGCCACGTCTTGAAGCTATTCAGGTCATTAGAGCCTGTGCGAGACGTCTGGGAACTTTCCGTTTGCTGCGGTGGATAAACCGGTGCAGATCTGAGCAGATAAATCCCATTTTCTATGTTCAAATGTGGCCAGGATGAAATTTACAGCAGTATAGACCATTCAGGGACAAATATGAGACTCCCTGGTAGTTACTACGTGGCTCGGAGGAGAAGGTCTTGATTATATTATTATTATTATCTAGATGTTATTTTCAGATCATAAGGTAAATGAGACCTGCAGTCTGATCCACTGGCTCTGCCCTGAAGGTTTCATCTTGATCATCATTTTCCGGTTTGGTGGTAATAATATCACCAAGGTCACCAGCTGCTATTTCAGTGATATAAGTGAACAGACATCTTTTTCTCTAACACATTCAATTATGCTCTGCTCTCAGTGAGTCCTGACACTCCACTCGTCTTGTTCTCAGCTGTGGCACACAGTCGGGTGGCCTCTCGACCTCTCTATAGGTAAGACAGCTAGTTGCTATAGATATACTCCAATGCATGTTTTGAACTTGGGCCTGTTTCACTCTATGGTTCTCCCCAGGGAGGTGTTTAAAAGCACAGCAAACAAACAGGAACGAAAAGGAGAACACAAACAATGTTCATCAGGCTATTGCGCGCCTCGCATTTAAACTGTGTTATTCGACTTATGTTGAAAGCACCCTAATCTATCATTGTGTTTAATATTGTTCTACATGCAGATCCATCGTGCCCTGTGAAACTTTCCTTATTTATGCTAACCTCATAACCTCAGCATTTACCAATGAATTTTTCTGACGACAACACTTACTTCGTGATAAGCTTCAAGCTCTCTGGAAAGCCGAATAGGACTGCAGGCTGCTTCTTGAAATATCCTGGCAGTGTTTAATTCAGTGTGTGTGTGTGTGTGTGTGTGTGTGTGTGTGTGTGTGTGTGTGTGTGTGTGTGTGTGTGTGTGTTCTGATGCATCTGTTTAGATGATCTCTTGCTTGGCCGGGGCTCTTCTGAAGAAATTTGTTAAATAAAAAAGGGCCTTGTGTTGCTGTGGCTGTGGGTGTGGTGAAGACGCTCCACATTACCTCGTCCGTTCTACCCTGGGATCGACCTGCAGTTTTAACGACGGCTACACTGAAATGTTCTGTTGCTTATTCTTTGTAATTTGTAACATGTCGTCAGTTATTTCTGCCCATCTGAAATAATCACAAAGGTACCAAACTGCAGAGGCAATTAGTTACATTCTTGTGTCATAATTGTCCAAACAACAGGCTGAAATAATACAATTTCCTCTGTGAAAATAATGGCTGCTATACTGTATAATAAGCAAGAAAATGTTAGGTACACAAGAAAGATTGTTCCAATGTGGTTGTAGATTCTTGATAATGTTTGAAATAGAAAGTCTTTAAACTGATGAGGCACTTACATTTCTAAATTTAGATTACTGAAAACTGGAAACTATGTTTTCACCAAAGCAACCGGGGTAATAGCTTGAGATGAGTCAGCTCATCTAAAACAATTTCTTCACCTAATGACATTTGCCTTTTCTGGCTCTGTGCTGTGCAACAAGCCGACAATGCTGAAGCCAGGAGCTTTGGGTTTTTGTTGGCTTTGCGAGAACCTGTTGACAGAGGATGCGGTGTATGCCCGCGAGGTTTCCCTTCACCCGCTCATGACCTTGAATCAAGCTAATGAAGAGAAAGAGGTGGCGGTCTTTCCAAAAGACACCTGTTTGCACAGTGGAGAGTGATGAGACGAGCTAATGTCTCTCTGCTTGTGGCTGTGTAACATTCATTACTTTAGAGCGACAGGGTATCAAACCACAAAGCTAGAGAGTAAATAAAACTGTCGGTAGAGTCGAGTATTGAGAAGTGTTGAGTATTTAAAGTTAGTGTCAAATGCTTAGGCCTGTTTACGATACTATACTATAGTATCGTAAAGTTTTTTTGATATCGGTACCAAAATTCTGGTATTGTAAGACTTTGCTCACAGACATATCTACAGACATAGCTACTGTTTTCAAAAGGTGTGGACTTGCAATATGGGGAGCAGAAGTTGCTACGTCGCCTAAAAGTCCTCTAGTGCTCTGTGTACATAGGCAGCTGCAAATTTGTTTAAATCTACACGATTCTGTCTGTCTGTCCTTACCCTGTAGCTGTGGAAGAGCTCGATGGCACGGAGGACGTCAAACTTGCGAGCCATGAGGAACTTGACGGCCAATTCCCTCGACAGCGGTGACACACCATGCTGACTGGTCCACTTGTTGATTTCCTCCAGAAACTGCCTGGTAGCCTGAAACAGACACAGATGTGGTCACAAACTCCCATAATCGAAGGGTCGAACAGGAAGGAAGTGAAACCGGGCTTTAAACTTGATACATCCTCAGAGGAAGTGTCATATACCGCCTCACAGAATATCCAACACAATTTGATGGCCTGGTTAGACATCTACGGTCGTGTTTCATGTGCTGTTGTATAGTCTGGAGAACAGTGNGCTTTAAACTTGATACATCCTCAGAGGAAGTGTCATATACATACACAGGAGCCCTGTGAGGGTGTATGCAGGCTGCACATAGACAGGGACGTACAAAATAAAATGTGTGCAGCCAAGCACGGAAGTTATTCCTCAGTTTTGCTGGTTCATCTCGTGTGTTAACCACAGCTATCTTGGGGAGAGACCTGGCACTTTGTAGAAGTCATGAAGGGACAAAGAAAATTCCAGTGCATGGTTGAGCTAAAAAAAAACAAAAAAAAAAACAACAAACTAACAAACAAACAAAAAAAGGAACAATTAAAACTGAAGAGTGGGAATGTAAACAGGAGCATGTAAGTGAATTCTGTTCAGTAAAATGTTGACATAGTTTTTATGAAGTGAGTGCAGGAGCATGAGAGGGGAGGAAGATGGAATCCTGCTGAACTGGTGTTTATGAGTTGAAGCTGCAATAATGACAGGGTAACACACTCAGAGTTTGCATAGCACTTGGTAATAAAGCCAGTCATATGTGTATTTTTCCGACTGCTGAGATATCAGTTAATGAAGCAGTTCTACATGATGTTTGGTGAAAGGATATCATTGATGGCAATGACAATTAAAAAGAGTTTTAGGTTTTATCTTTTTTAAATTTTTTTTTTTCCTAGTTTTCTGTTCCTCTTAGAATATGATGAACTGGTCATCAAACTCTTACACATGTGCATGTTTCAGGGTAAAGATGCCAATTAGTTTCCTGCGAAATCTGGCTGCAACCACAGGAGACAAGAGCAAAGCAGAGAGGAAAAGAGCCAAAAACAAGGACTCATATTATGTCGGATTACTGGTGGTAACGTTTAACTCTCCATGGCATTAACTGCCATTCAAAATTCAAAGACTGCTTCGATAGTTTAAAAAAAACTTGCTACAGGTTTTCACAAAATCAAGTGCAACATATACTAACTCTGCAGTAACTGATTTTTTTTTTGGCCAGCAGAAGAAAAAAAAAAAATCTATGACCACAAAACTCATATTATCACCATGTGCATTGATAAAAAGGTCAGAGTTAGCAAACAGCTGCTTATTTACACACTGATACACCCTATCACTGTCGCGTACAGTGGGCTTTTACTGCTTTTTGCTGAAAACAGCTGCTGAAAAAGGAACACAGAGCGGTTAGACTGAACCAAAACAGCAAATTTGTGGGATGGAAAACCAAAAACAACCAACTGAAGGTGCTGAGTCGGGTGATAATATTTAACATAGCCACTTTAAAACAAAGGAACTTAATTAGAGAAAGTTGGCTTGCTTCAGAATGTGTTTTTTGGAGTGTTCAGCAGACTGATTCAAATCTAAAAACATCCAGTTGAATTCATATCATACACTGCACTTGGAAAATGTGTTTACCATAAAAAGACTCTCCAGCCATCTTGCAAAGAACTTATGCATTTAGCCGGCAGTCTTTCAGGAGCTTCCTGTCCTCCCCTCTGGTCTTATTATACACTCCCTCGGGCCCAACCCCAACCCCCCCACCCCCCCCACCCCCCACCGCCCTCAGCACCCGCAGAGTTAGCGAGTCAGCACCCAGTGAATCGTCAAAAGGCGACAGAGGAGGCAATGAAAGCTTACACTTTAAACACAGGGTTCCGCTTCTCTGGTCAGGCACAGCAGCGGTGGGGCATGCATGGGAGACAGGAAGTCAAGTTCTGGGAGTCCACGGCTCTTTAGGAATACAAAACGATCACTGACGAGCGCTGAGCCTCAAAGACAGGATGCCACTGTCTCTTCTCAGGAAAGCCAGTGCTTTCACAGACACGAGGGCCTGCAGCTTCTGCTCTGTTCAGATGCCTTAGCATGCAAGGGATGAGGGATGATTGCACCTGACAGGGCCGGGTTCATATCCGATTCTCATGGGGGGAAATGTGGAGGGCTGTTCCTCTGAATTCTTTTCAGCACATTAGAGACTAGATCTCTAAGATTTTTAAACATGAATTGACAAGCAAATGTTTCAGACCCAACAGTGAGCTATGAACAACACATTACAATCTTACGATGACCTATTTTACTGTGAAAAATGGGGGCATTACTATGACAGAATAGCTCCAACTAGAAACTTAACCAATACTTTATTGTGTCTGATAGTATTTCCTAACTTTGAGAAAGGAAGTTCACGTTTTACTTTTGGGAATAGTATGTGTAAAAAAAACTCACTTAATAGCTTTTTTTTTTTTTTATAGCTTTCAATTACATCTCATGGCCTTCTTCAGCAAATGGAGCTGGCCCCTGTGTCACCACATGACCCAGTTGTGGAACTAATGTGGCACCAGTTGTCTGTGAGCACCAGACCAAAGCTGGTCATAGCATCAATTGAGAGAGGGTCAATGTTACTGACCAGGAGCCCATAGATGGCCAGAGACAGACAGAGTCTTTTAGAAAGTCTTCACATAGGTTAGCATCTCCCATTTACAACCACCTCCTGTCACATGACTGACGCTCAACACTTGGGTCACATGTTGACAGCTTAGCCAGCTTCGTCCACTGATGAAGACAAAACAGTCAAAGTAACTACCACCTAATCTACAGACAGAGGATTGTTTCCCCATATCTAGGGAGTATAATCAGTACGTAAATAGCGGGTGCCATTTCTCTAGTGTAAATCACAAGGAAGATGATGACTCAAGGCCACAGACAGTTGAGTGTTCAAATTCTCTCAACTTACTAAACAAGAAAAATAGAAAAAGACAGAAGTGGGAATCTACTGCGTGACGTAGAGCTATGATTTGTCTCACTTGAAAATGAATTGCAGAGAAAACTGCAGTAAAACTAACAGGTGATATCAACAAGGTTTATAAAATCCAAAAGTAAAACAAAAAGTTTGTGATGAAAGGAGGAAAACCGGTCTCTATGAGTAATTCTAAGTTGTTTATACTCATGAAATGTTTTAGAATTCACTTGGCTTCAAGAAAAACATATTTGACTTATATGGTGAGGTACTTTCTTGTAACAAAAACTCCACAAGTTCCATCTAATGAGGGATGTCTACTCTTTGTTGTTGCACTGTGAAGTGTTAATCCTTCAGTGTTGGCCAAAGACAACTTCCTGTCAGATTGCTGTCAGGTACACTCGGGTTTCCAAGATTTCAATGGTCTGACAGCTGCTCTTTCTCTCTTGGCCTTTTAAGGGGAGCCTGCCAACTCCAGGCAGTGACCCTCTGTTCCTGGAGAAGCCAGTCTTGTTTGGTTTTTCTGCACTAGAGGCCATATCCGCCTGAGTGGAATTTGAGGATGAACCAGTTTGTTTTCATGAAAGCACACCGGACTAGAGTGGAAGACTCACTGCGGAGGAGTGACTTCAGTTCTGTCCAGTTCCTGGAGGATGAATAAATATTTGCTTGACTTGCTCCACTTCTGATACAGCAGGAGATTTTTTTCCTCAAAGTTCTTGATTATTCATTTAAAAACACTTAAATCTGTCTTAAACCACCATGACATGAATCTAAATACACTGAGAGGTCCATGCACGTACAGAATTTGTCAGATCAAAAGTCTATTTTTTCCATCCTCACTGGTTCAGCTGTCTTCATTTCCTCCGTTTGTTGTTCTGAAATTCCATGTGAGGCATTTTAAGCAAGTGGCTTCTGGCCTTCCAATACACAGCTGAGATTACATAATCCTGTTTGTTGTCAGGATTGTTCATTGATGGTTGGGGATGTTCATTGGCGGTGTTGACAATGACAGTCAATAACTAATTGATTAGGTTCACTGTGGTAGGAACCTGCTGTGCTTGGGAGCTAGTGGATAAATTTGGGGTCAGTTCTCAGCCGAACGGCCCTAAAACCAAGCCCACATGTCCACAAAGGTCGGAGACCCGGTCCCACACAACTCACTGCTGCAGCAAACAACTTTGACAAAACAGATAAGTGTTCCTGCAGGGAGATGAGGACTGTCTTCAAAAATCACTCCATTGTTCTCTCGTTTACTACTCCCTAAATAACAGACGCTCAGTACTTTACTCTGTAGTGAGCAGTGAATTGAGAATTCAAACACTCATTATTCACAATTATTTCATCACATCACTTTACACGACTGTAATTTTCTCACCAACACAATGTGATACATTGCACTGTGGAACTGTTAACTGACAGTCGTGATATACCAAATACCATGGGACGTGACATGAGCAGTAATGAATGTATTAAATATTGATTCATCCATCATGATTTTGTGCTGTCCGTCTCTCCTGTACTGAAAGTCTCTCTCTTGCATCTTGCTGCTCTCTGCCTGGACATGTTCACCTTCCGGCACTCCTTCCTGTCTGAAGAGGTATTAGGATTATTCCTTGGACCTGACACTAAACATATCATACGTGCGGTACAGACGTATAATCTTATATTTACTATTAACTGACAATGACACACTCCAGTGACAATGCAGAAGCCTGCATTTTCCTGCCTCAGTGTTGTTAACCTTTCCTGGCTCATCATCTAGACTGTAGCTGGGAAGCACATGGGAGACAATGGAACTTGGGTCTTAAGGAGTTGTAGCATTTATTTACTGACAAATATCCTTGAGTGCACATACATTACACTGCTAATTTCTAACTCTCTGCACCGGTCGCCAGCCTCACTCTCTCTCTCTCTCTCTCACCTGCCATGCTACTGCGACCTCTTAACGCTTAAGAAGAAAAGACTGTTCAAGTAATTTCCTAATGTACAAGTTTAGTTTTCATACACACTGCTATTGTCAACAGGTTAGACCCACAGCCACACTCACAAAAATGACTATATATAAACTATAGATACAAGCGGCTGTTAGTCAAGCTAGCTTTCAGATACAATAGCCTGCTGACCCCTACAAGAAGGCAGTTAATTACATGATGAATGTAAACAGGCCAGTCCTTTATGGGACCGAACGCTGTTCTGAGATCAGTAGTAAGGAGATATATCACTTCCATTTCAGTATCCTTCTAAATTTATGTCTAGTTTTAGCTTAAACTGGGAAACACGGTTTGCCTTGCTTAAACAACATTAATGCTTATATTATCATAGACAATATCTTCAGGTTCAAGTGTGTTCATCTTCACCAATCTTAACCCTGTCTAATAAAAGGGTCCCCTGAACGTGTAATACTCTAAACTCCTATATTTCATGTTCTACAGTTATTATTCTGTACACCTCTATTTTCTGCGGCTCAATATGCATCATCCATGTACAGTTTATGAACTTTTGCCGCCTACAACCTTGACACTGTGCTTCATCCAACCATGTTCGATTTAGGCTTTTTCTGCCACAACTACCCACAGTATTGGTTCACTGGATCCTTGCAACAAACCAGATCTATTTGTTGTTGCTCTGTGCTGCTAAATATGACTACACATGTTGACTACATTGTTTATTATGCTGTTCACCGTATTATGTTGTACAATGCATTATCCACCACTAATATAATTCTTCACACCTTCTTCGTGGTATAAGATTTAACTTGTCAAACACAGATAATTTTGATTAGTGGCTGCATTTCAATTAGATGCGTCATTGCAAGGGTGACGGTATTGTGCATGCTGACTTACTGGGATACATAAGGTGGATTTGTGTTTTGTTTTACTCACAATCATCATAGTCCTTAGTTACAGGAATTGGTCACTGATGTCTCAGTATTCACATGAAGCCTATTGAAATCACATTCCAGCCAGGAGGAGTCATGCTGTAGATGGTGGCTGTATTCATGTCTCAGCTAGGAGAAGGGTTATGGAAAGTATTGGAGGGTCACTGCAGCGTCATGATTACATCTTGATCCTACAGACAGGGCTAATGCATTCCTTCATTGTTATTATTATACTAACGAGGATTCGTGGCTGTCCTTGACATTGTCTTTCCAGAATCTATTTGATGATTACAGATGCCATGCTAATCTATTTACAAATGTAGGACTGCAGTTGCCAAGCGGCTTCTCCTCACTTCAGTGAGTCCCATTTGGCACGAGTCAATACCAAAACAGGAAGTCAATAACGTCACTCTCTCCCTATTCCCCACTTTCTCTCACTCCACTGCTTCCTGGGAGTAGACACAACACACACACACACACACACACACACATTTTCTCTAGAGCACATGATAGACACACACAGGCACTCTGTAACTCATAAACTCCCCCTTCCCCCGAGTCTGGTGGAAATGCTTTTAACAGCTGCCGTTAGAGTGAAGTTCCACTACACCCGTGTACACTCCCGAGAGAGCCACCCTACCACACACACACACACACACACACACACACACACACACACACAGAAACACACAGAAACACACACACACACACACACACACAATATACCCAGCACAAGGCTGTGGATGTAATGAGGGCGTCCGGTACCCTAGCGGGGGCCCTGGCTCACACAGGAAATGGAGTTGCCAGATAAGGCTTTCTGCTGACCAGATCATGAGAGGAGTCAGTGGGGAGAGAAGACATGAGCATGACCAGCACCAAAGAAGAAGAAGACTTGAAAAATCAAACATAGATTGAAAATGTGTGCAAACTGATTATTATTCCACCACAGAAACTGAAATGAACAATGTTCAAAAAACTACCAACCACAGCACGTTTACTCTGCTCACGTTGAACTTCTGATAGGTTGGGTGCTGTATGCCACTGTTGGTTTGACTGATTATATTTGAACTACAAACTAAGATAAATGTTATAATTCACACTAAGTTGCCAGTTTATAAGAAACTAAAAAGCGAATGTAGTCCAATACATCGGCCCTGCAATAAATCTCAACTCCCTAAAGGTTAATATTCAGTTTTTGTTGTTGTAGAGAGGTGTTGATTCAACTTAATGACCTACACTCATTGATATAAATGTGGTGGACAAAATATTGGAAACACTTCTCAGTGCAACCCAACAGCACCACAAACTACAGCAAAAGTAGACAACAAGAAGTGAACATCATAACCTTCATAAAAGGTATGATTTATTACAGATTGCTGGTGTTGTATTCGACTGCATTAGTTTTGTCAGGGTGTACAAAATAATTAGGGATGCAATAAACAGTTCTTTATCAATAATATTCTTGATTTATCTATTGATCATTTGCTCCTTAGAATTTCAGGAAACAGTGACAAAATGTCCAATGGCCGTTTCCTTTAGTTAGTTTAGTTTAGCTTAGATTAGTCTGACCAGCTCGGCAAAGCTTCAAGATACTAAGTTTACGAAGACAAAGAAAACAGCAACAAAAACTAGGAAATGTGTCAAATTTGATTATCAAAAAGTTTCCAGTTACTATTTTGTTGATCAACTAATCGCTTTATCTTTCCAACTCTACCAATGATAAAGTGTCAACTGGATTATTTTGAGTGAGCTCAGCAATTCAGATTTACCTTACTCAGATTTACTTACTTAGATTTGTTTTTTCAGATCCAAAATTAAGTCTCATTCACTTCAAGAGCAAATAATATCTAAAACACACAGAGCTCAGTGCTGAGATGACTTGGCTATTTTTGAAACAATATGAAATCTCTAAAGAATGAGTTTCATTTTGGTGTCCATCAGTTTTTAAACCAAAATATTCATGTTAGTAAAAGGAAAAGCGCATCAAAACTAAGTTTATAGCTCTTTGGGTTTACAGAAACTTATTTAGGCCTTGATAAAACAAACAAATGAAGGGAAAATTCGTTTCCGATTCTCCATATTGGTTTAAATTTGTGAATATGTCTACATTATAAGATGCTTAGATGTTACAGTTTAACCCAGTTTCACATTCCCACATTACTAACATGACACTATTATCCAAGTTTCTCCTGTACACATTTTTTTTTTTTTTTTTTGAATGAGCCAAATGTGGAACCAGGCAGCGTTTCCAGCTCTCCCCCAAAACCTTCCCCGGTGTAATATCACGGTCTGCACCCACGAATGAGCAACTCTGAGCCACGCATTGAATTATTTCACATCTGTGGAGGCTGGTGAAGGCGAGCTCGGCCTCTTTCGCAACAGTTCAGCTCGGCCGCTGGAGAGGAACTGACAGTGATGCAACGAGAGCAATAATGCGCCAGAAATCGATACAATATTTCCGCTCCGCACACAGGATCATTTCGCAACAAATCCACCATTGCGCACCGCCATCGCCACTCGCTGCGGTGCGCACACGCAATGGACAGGGCCAAAAATACCTCCAGGTAGGGCCGAGACTGGAACAATTCAGGGCGATTTAACACAGAAAGGAAGAAGTGAAAGCATAAAGACTCTTAAGGCCTACCTGTTCTTCATCCGCCGATAAAGTAGCTGCCATGGTTCCCGTCAGTTCTCCGATCACCTTTCACCGAGACGCGTCCTTTTCATAAAGTGGAAGATAACGGAGATGTCTGTGTGTCTTTCCCTCGTGTAAAAACGGGGTTTTAGGGGTTGTCCCTCTCGCTCAAAGTTGAAGGCATCTGAATCGCTGCAGTATGAGCTGAATGTTTCTTTTCTCTTGATACTGTTTGACTGCAAAACACGCAGGCCAATTAGCCTGAATCTGCCATCCAAACTAGAGCGAAAAGCCTCTGATGTTGTGTCAGATTTCACCGAGGAGAAGAGAAAGAAGACAGGGAAGAAAAAAAAAAAAAAACAGAGGACTACACTCGAGCAGCTAGACGAGGCTTTGCTTCGGCTCGATGATCACTGGGTTCAGACCATGATCTGCTGCTCATCCACCTAACCTTATACAGATCAGAGGGCGGCAGCTGCCCGCTGACTCCTCCATGCCATGAATTGCAAGTTTTTAGCTCTGAACGTTGCCTTTATGTTGTGTGAGAGACAGCCCTGAACAGCGAGAGAGAGAGAGACTGGAGGCTATTCTTTCTGCATGCCGCTCCACCCCCTGGTGGTTAAGACCAGAAAATGACAAAAGCTCACTGACCTCCGCCTTCATTCATAAAAATAGGAAACCAAACAGGAAAATCACCATTTTGAGTGTCAGCTTGCTTCTTGCGGCACTAGGGAGACTCTGAAATACACGAGTGGTTTTGAAAGAAAGAAAATAACTTACACGTACTTTACTACATAAAGTCAGCTTCCACTCAAAATGGGTTTTGCTGACATTGTTAGTTAACAATAACTTGGATGTTTGACTCACTGTGAAGAATAATGCAGCTGTGTGCAGACCTGAACAGAAGAGAGCTAATTTCTAATTCATCTGCTGGTGTTTCTTCACTTGCCTTTAAGCAAAAGTTTGAAATTTTTGGGAAACATGCATATTTGTTTTCTTGCTAGGAGTTAAACAAGAATACAGATACTACTCATATTTGTCCAAAGCTACAGCTACAGGTTAGCTTAATGCTAGTTTACTTTAGCATAAAGACAGGAAACAGCTAGCCTGACTTTCAATTGGAAAAAAAAAAAATCTGCATACAAGTATCTCTAAAGTGTACTAATTAACATGGTATGTCTTATTTGTTTAACATGTACAAAAACCTAAATCCAAAAACAACAATTTGCCGTTTTACAGGGGTTACATCTTGGACTACTTAGTTCAAGCAGTTTCCATGGCAACCAGCAGTGACAGTTACTGCTCCCAGCCAATAAATAGTCAAATTTGTAATTTAAATGAAAGGAATAGTTTAGTTTGGGATGTCTTTTTTTTTCCATCTTGAACATGTCTTTATGGGATTGTTAACATATTACTTATCTGCCACTGTGGTGTATATTTAAAATATACTGTTTTTTGTGCATTAGTATTAGCTATAGGTCTACATCATAACAGCACTCTCCAAACGATTACTAACATTACTAATGCATGAAATAAAGTGAGAGGAAATTACTAATAATAGGAGCAGGCCCTTCCGTAATAGTTGGTTTCAAGAATAGCAATTTAATTAGTGAAACTCTCAACTCATGCATTCCCCAGGCTACATAATAACCCAGTACACTTTACAGGAATTGCATGACATCATAGGAAACAGAAAATACCCAACAGAATGATAAAGTTGCTGTAATATGACCCACAGACACACACGCAGGTCTCCCTAGGAATATTATCAGCTGCTGATATATATTCAGAGGGAAGGTTGGTTCGAGTGCAGTCGAGAGACTGCATTTCCTGCAAGATTATTGATGAGCTACCTTGATGTGTTCCAATAAGACTATAAAAGTAACGTGATGCAAAACAGGGCTAGAGAGTGGGAAAGAAAGCTTGGAAAGATTTCTCAATGCTGTGTTAATGTCCTCGTCATAGATATCTTGTTATACTTGTGAAGAAGTAAAAGCCATTTGAACAGGCCAGCCATTAGGAGTTATAGACAGGGGCACACTCAGTCCAGCACCACCACCATCACCCACCCTTAGCTCTAATACCAACACAGTCAATTTCAGTCAGCTCTTGGCCATAAGCCTTGCAGTGAAAACAGATGGAGTCTCTAACAACTATGCAAGAATTAGTAATACCAGCAGATTGCAATTTAATGGCTTTATAAAGGCATTCAGCAGTGTTTTTTTAATCTAGTTAAGTGAGCATGCTAACGTTTCATAATGACTAAGCTAGCTAAAGATTTATGCCCATGTGTGCTGTGAACATCTGACTGGCCAGTGTTTCTACTGCAATATTTACACAATAACAATGAGGGATGGGGACAGGTTGAAATGTGTTTTCAACACATTATTGTCAGTGATATAGGTCAGTACATAAATTGTTGTACTTAATCTAATTCAAAGGTTAACCTTTGACCCTGTCTGATAGTGGGGCTGATTTTGAGACAGGTAGGCTATTTTTTAAGGGGGTGGTTTTTAAGGAAAGGTTGGAAATTATACACAACACTAAGTTTTAGAACACTTCCATTCTTCCAGCAGTTCAAGCCCAGTGAATAGCCTTAAATAGCACAAAGGTCAGTGGTAAACTGTAACAAGTTTGAGCCATCAAAAAATGAAAAATCATGAAAATTTCATAGACAACAGGACTTTTATAAACATGCGTTGTACAAAGACAGTGTTGGAATAAAGTGTTTTACTACACCCTTGGATGCATTATCACAACAACACTGTACTGCAGGAATTGTTACTGTATATTGCTATCTGAATGGAGAGAAAAATGCAAGTAACAAATGAAGACTGACTGGTTGGTCAGCGGTTCATCCAATAGCAAGATAATGAGCCAAAACATTAGAAGAAAAGAAATAGACAGTTGCTTCTCATAATGGGAGACCAACACAGTCTCCAGACTTAAACCCTATCGAGCTGGTTCAGGATGAACTGGACAGAAGGATAAAGCAAAGCAAACTATAAGCGCAAGATATTTGTGGGAACTGTAGTAAGTAACAACTGGAAAAAATGAAGGTCTTCTGAAACCTTTTACCAGTACTGTAGGTACATTCATTGTGCTGTTTGTTTTTTTACACAAATAACAAGATCCCACAATAGGCCAACTGTAAATAATGAGGCGTGAGAAAGTCTGGCTTGAAAACCAAAGGGAAAAGGGGGTGGACAACAATAGACTTCCTGTGAAACCAGCTGACATCATGTCATTTGGGGAAATGGGATTGGTAAACTCTTAGTCCTGCCCACGTAATATCCAGCCTGACAAAAAAAGTTTGAGTGCATCAAATACTTATGAGATGATGGCCTGATTTAACTCACTGTACCAGTCAGTAAAAGCTAGAGAGGGAGGTTAAGGTATTTAGTTTCCAAAAAGATCAGTTTACTCCAAGATGTTGTCTAATGCACAGAATGTGGAGGCCTCTGGTTCAGCACGATCCACTCCAGACCCCATATATTAAGGCTAAAGTGATCAAAGGTATGCTATGGCTATGGTTGTATGGAAATCACATTTAACTGAATTTTCTAGGAATCGCAAATGTACTGAGGTCATGCCCTCACTATTATGTCTGGGAATTTGGAGAGTTTAATGACCTGTGCAACAACTGACATTCTACAGCTACAAACATATTACACATGATGGGCTTTGAACCCTGATTTTGTTGTTTTTTTTTTTTTTTTTTAGAATAAAGATCTTTAAATGTGATTATACTTTTCTGCAAAAAAACAAAAATAAACAAACAAAAACAATGAAGTATAGTTGGGGTAGTAGCCTTTTTGTTTATTCGCTTTCTTGCTGAGAGTTAGATGAGAAGATTGCTACCACTCTCATGTCTGTATGTTAAATATAGGCCTTCACCCAACAGCTGCAGGTTAGCTTAGCATAAAGACTGCAAAGGGCAAAACAACTAGCTGCTCTGGTAGCTCTGAAGCTCAGCTATTAAATGCAATCCCTAAAACCATGTGTTCTTACAAATGTTGATTAAACAAACAAGATATAACATCTTATTTTATAGCTTTAGAGATGCTGGGAGTTGGAGTTTATATTAAGCTTAGGCTAACCAGCTGCTTACCTTATCTACAGTACAGACATAAAATCTCTTTTGGGACAAAGAGAATAAACATTCCTTTAAATTAATTCTTTAAAATAGTATTAAAAAATGTTTTGTTTGCTCAAGTTCCATATGTCTAAGGGGTGTAGGAGTGGAGCTTCTGGGGATTTGTATTTGACCTTATGATTAATTAAATCCTGGCCACAGCCCTGTGCAGACCCACAAATCAACATGCGTCTTCCTTCAGACAATAACACCAGGAACCAAAACCAGCCATGGAGGTTAAACACCCTTTATGTGACAGGTGTTGAAGAGGAATAACACAAATCTGTTTGTCTTGTGACAAGGCCTTTCATAGAGATCAGAGAGGGCTGAAGTAAGCAACATTGTATGTGTTAGTCTGTGCATGTGTGTGGGAGACTGAGCGTGCTCTGAAAAGTGTAACTGCGGACTGACAGGTGCTCAGTTCCTGGAAAGTAATCGGTGCTGCTGACTAATAGCTGTCTTGCAGTAAACCACATGCTCTCTTTTACAGACCTTTGCGTGTAGAGGTGACTGAATGTGAAAGAAAAAAAAATCTGACTGTACTCGATGAACTTTATCAAACATCTTGCTCTGAAATACTACACTACGGTAAAGCCAAATCCTTTAGAGCTTTTTGCAGAAATCTGGCATGTACTGTTTACACACACACACACACACGCACACACACACACATGTTGACGAGAGAAGCAGTGACACAATGGGAGATAAGTCCTAAAACCATGTGGAAACATGGAGTATATATAGAAAAATTCAACTCATTTGAACCTGATTTATCATAAATGTCATCATCACTGTTATACATATTTTTTTTCCTTGTCTGCATTTAGATAGAAGTGAAATCTCATCAAAAAGCAGATAATGAAAAATTATTGATTGTCTTTGGTGTTGCTTTCCAGGAGTTATCAGGTGATGAGGTATTGTAATTGTGGTATAGTTTCCTTCAGCTGCATTTTGCACCTTCCTCCTCCTCTTCAGTCAGTGATCTCCTACGTTTCCCAGAATGAGTTATAATAATCCCCACAGAGGGTAATGATTGAACATGTTACTTTCATCTGTTCCGTGTAGGTGGTGATAGCAATAGTGATACCATCGCGAAAGCAAGGCAAGGAGAAAATAACATTTGTTTTTTTCCATTGTAGAAAAAGTGAGTAGTGGCACAAACACACAACATGTGTCTTTTAAACACAAACCCCTGTACTGTTCAGCTACCTTATCTCTAAACTGTCTAAAAAAGGCCAAAGTGACGACTTCAAATGCTCTGAATTTAAACCACACCTAAGCTAGCAGCTCTACGAGGCTGTACTCAGCAGGGCTTTGAGCTAAATGATAACATCTGCACACAAAGATGCTCACAGTGACAATGCCAAAATGCCAATGGTAAGCAGGAATAATATTTATGTTTACTAATTATACCTTGATGATGGTGCTTGATAAAAGTTAAAGGACTACCAAAGGGATTACACTTCATCCAGAGGAGGGTATGTATGAATGTCTACCAGGTTTAATGTCAAACCATTCAACAGCTGTTGAAATGTTCCACGAGAATTTATGTATTACAATGCTCTGGGTTTAACCAACAGCTAAGCTAGCAGCTCTGTGAGCTGCACTCAGCAGGGCTTTGAGTTGAATGCTAACGTCACCACGTGACCACAGTGACAATGCCAAAATGCTAATGGTAAGCAGGAATAATGTTCACTACCATCTTAGGTTATCATTTAGCATTGATTCATTTGCCAATTAGCATTAAATAAAAGTAAAGTTGGGAAAAATGTCAGTTTAGCAGGTATTTAGTCATAAACTAAGACTGGACAAATTTTAAATTGATGATGGTGCTAGATTAAAGTTAAGGGACTACCAAAGGGATTACAATTTATCCAGAGGAGGGTATGAATGTCTTTACCAAGTTTCATGACAATCCATTCAACAGGTTTTGAAACATTGAAACCAAAAATATCAATCAAAGCGGCGCTAGAGGAAAAGTCAGGATCGTGAAAGTCAGTACGAATTTGTGCCAGTCTCATCAAGTTGGTGTAGAGATAGTCATAGGTCTATTGGCTTTATCCTCTGGAGATTTCATGGCCATACATCCAATAGTTGTTAAATATTTGAGTCTGAACCAAAGAGGTGGACTGACTAACAAAGCCATCCCTACAGACACTAGTTTTAAAGTTACTACTACTACCTCAGCTAAGTCTTAAAACTAATAATCTGAGAGAGACCTCATTATGTTGTAGGTGTATATAGTATATAGGTTATAGGTAACCAGAAGCAACTCAAATTCAAAACTGTAATTTGTTTAAAAACTGGGGAAAAAGGAAAAGGAAAATGAGGTCACCTCCCTTCCTCAGACATTGTAAACTACTTCACATAACCAAGATCTGGTAACCTGAGGCGATCTGAGGTGTTCTCTGCCAGGATGTGTTGGCACAGGTTACTAAAACCAAGTTCACAGCCCTGCCAGACACTTCACACGTCTTTTCCTGTACAGTTTCCGCCCAGTTCTTCAGTTACGCAAATGGCACAGTAAGCTGAGAGCAGAGAGGAAGGGATGCTCATGAGCACTGGCAGTATGAACAGCAGTATGAGTCACATCATATACTGGAACATCAGCTACTCACTGGTACACTGACAGAGCATGTACAGTTAAGTAGAAGATAATATATATTCTCTCTCCCTAGGCTTTTTTTTTCTAGCTTTATTTTATGTCAGTCCTTGTTTTATCACAGAATCAACACTATTTTGTAAAATTAACTATCAAAGACTAGATTTTGACATATTAATTCCTCAAACTTCATTTTTTTGTTTGATACTTTTAATTGCACCACATAACCAAGTGGTGGAAAAGCCACCAGAATCCAAATTTGTTAAATTTCTGTTAGCAAGACTTAATTTTCAAATACTGTAGACCTTTAAACAAAACAAAAAAAAAATTCAACAACCCATGGCAACACAGTGAACAGGACTGTAGTCCAATAAAAAAAACATTTATTTAGAAACATACACTTTAAAACACCTCAGCAATGTTAAACTTTGTATTTAACTGTAAAAGCCTATGCCACTCCTGCTGTTCAGCATGATGACAACTCACAGGGTCTGACCAGGCAGCAACATCTCAACTTCCAAAACAATGAATGAATCCTAAACTCTGTTGCTCAAATGAACGATCAGTGAATACGCATCAAAGACATCGTCAGAAAACCTACAAACAACTGACAACAGTAAGGATGAGATGTTTCTTATGTGAGATCTGTTTTAAGTGCACAAAGCGCTGAGCAGCAAAATCTTACATAAGACACCTCTTGTCCTCTTTTTTTGATCGCATGCGACCACCTATGGTGTTATGAAAGGGATCTGCATAACAGACTGTGACATTGTAATTATAGTGGCTAAATGCTGTGCAATTATTCTCAAGGAAACTAATTGTTTCCAAGTTCTGCAGCAGGTAAAAGTGAAGATGTAACTGTTTTTAGCCAAAATAAAAACACATATACAGCATAGCTCTACTAATCTGCACGCTGAGGGCATCCTGAGCAGTGCCGGATTAGAATTAGCCATGCTTTGCAATTGGTCAGATCTGCAGAACCATTCAGCAGACATTCTAAAGAGCCATATGTGGGCTGACGCCACTCAGAAACACTGAGTTGGCAATTTGCATCTCGTTAAGCCTCCCACTCAGATCTCCATGTTCGCTTCCCTTATTGGATTTTGATTCAAAAAGTTCAGAGAGTCCGCACTGTCCTGGCTCGGCGTGGACAGGTACTCTAGCTCGTAGCCTCCGCTTCTGTTAGCTGGGCGGACTTCGCTTGATGTTTTTTTGTGCTCCAGGATCTGCTGCAGCTGGTGGCTGGCATACTCAGGCTTAGTGGTGAGGGGTCCTACGGGAACCTCTATACCCAGGATGTCAGTGACCATGTAGGGGCGAAGCCAGCCCACTAGAGGGGTGCTACCAGGAGTGTAGTGGGTCTGCCTGTGGTAGAAAAGGAGACCATCCACCTGCAGCCAGAAATTCAGAATTAAATTCATCAAAGCTTGAAGAGAAGCAAACAAAATATATTTCAGTTTGTCTTTCAGAAAATATACAGATTTTTCTCCACAAAAACATCATTACATCCAGCATTCTGGATGCAGAGCAAGGTTTTTGTAGAAAACATTTTAAGATCAAATGATCTGTTCTTACGCTGAAGCTGTACTCAGCTGCCAGGGCTTTCTGAATTGATTCTGCTGTGCAGTCTGTGCTTTGGAGGCTCACAAACCGGAACTGTTGGACCAAACAAAACCAGAGCACCATGATGTTAGTTCCCAACACAATTTGTCTTCTTGTCAAATGTGAGAAAATTCCAATGGTGAGCTCACTCTGCAAGGACTAAGCCTGATTTAGCTTCTGCTGAGCTGGGCCACACAAACACTGAAGGTTTAGAGGTGGAACTCAAAGTTCACTCCAGCGCCATAATTTTCAAGATTTGTGGGCAATAATTACTTCAGTGCACAATTAGTCCCCAAGACAGTAATGAGAGTTTGTCTTTAATGTTCCTTTGTCTTATTTTCCCCCTGAGGAAGTGTAGGTTTAAGTTCAGGACTTTATTTATCCCATAAAAGGAAATTAAGTGTAGCAAGGCATGAAACACAACGCACACAACATTCAGAAACCCAAAGACTGAATAAACACGTCACAGTGTCTCCAACAACAGAAAACTAGGAAGAAAAAGTGGGGCATGAAGTGGAGAGGCTCCACTCCTGTTTCTGGTACTCACGGGGTTGCGTTTGGCGATCTCTGATAGGCCGTCCGTCTCCTGGACTTTGGACTGAAGCCAGTAGAAACGGAACTCAGTCTGTTGATGAGAAAACAAGCACTGTAAACAAAAAAGTCCTATTTCAAATCCTGAGCCAATGAGATTGGCAACATGGTAAAAAAGCACATCTGTGGCCCAGACTTTGCTACTTAAGCAATTAGACAAGCATTCCTGGATTGCTGGAGGATTAAGACGCCAGTCTTACCGGGCAGTCGTAGACCGGGTGGCCTCTCCAGCACATGACGTCCAGGATGTAGTATGTTCTGTCCACTTCGCTGTAAATGCAGTCCAGGATTGTGTAGTCTGCATGAAGTAAATATAAAGACCAATTTACAGATATACAAAATTTACAGGTATAAAACTCCCTTATGCTGACTTATGATATAATCTTTACTATTATTGAATTAATAAAAAGCAATACGAATATATTCAAGATATCTTCAGGGTGCATGATGTGATTATTGATCTGTAACATTGGCTCAATTATTCTGATATTAAGATCTAAGTTCTGATATTATTTGGTTGTGCAAATCATTTTTAGGTCCCGTTTGATGTTTTGGAACAAAAATGAACCAAAAGAATTTCAAAACACCAACAACAAACCCCCACCCAACACCCTGAGGATGGTGCATCAATGAACAACCAGTGCTGCGAGACTCTTTAGCTACAAAAGGATATAAAAAAAAGAAAAAAAAAGAAAACTTGTTTAAAAGTCAACAAACAACAAAAGACAAAACTGATATTAATAGTGACAATATCAACTCTTCACTGGGTGTTTTAGTTAGATCTCTGCTTTCACTGACCCCTTAATGTCCAGATATTCCCTTTTATTTCCCCTTAAGTAGCGTTAAGAGAATATAAAAAATCTCTTAATTAAAATCACCAATCCATCAAATGGAAATAGTCTTATCAACATTTTATTCAGTCAAATTTGGTACCTTAGGAAAGTTCGGGGTCTCCACTAGAATTTAAAAATAAAGTTGCATGGCATGAGTTCGTACTGTCTGTCCCACCAGCAGGTAGGTGGAGTTTAAAAAGTTTAAAGCTTAAAAAGTAAAAAAAAAAGGAAAGAAAATAAAAACCTCACGAGTGAATGGGAGACAACAGAAGAATCTACTGTCGGTGAAACACTTGTGCGTGTTGCGAAAATACCCAGGCGGTCCATTTTAGTGAACCCCTGCCCTCCAGAGACACAAGCGGCCCTCCTACCTTTTCCCATGGCAGAGTTGTGTCGGTTCCCACCGGGCAGCAGGGAGGGGAAACGGTTCACACAGTAGCCGCTTTTAGTGTACGCTGCAGTGGAGCCCTTCAGAGAAAAAGTCAAAAACAGAGACGCCACATGAGGGATAAGACAACGGCTGCAATTAGTTAGCTGTGGTTTTTCTATTGGTTGGCCTTATGGCCCACATCCTTATAACCTTATAAAGGCATATGTGTAAATGTAGCATGATGACACTATCTGACACTGGCTTTTGCATAACGATTCAAACTTTTCTAAACCTCAGAATCTCATGTAAGGTCACCTTATACACAGACATGTCAATGGGAGATTTACAACACCAATATATTGATGATTCAGATAAATCTGTACAAAAAAAATTAAAAATATATATATTTAAGTTAGGTGTGATATACATTATGATATGACAAATATTGGCAAAAAAAAAATCACTTATAAATTGATCAGTCTGATGTTCAATGACATGAAACGTGTTCCGCGAAGAAAAAACTCACATTCGTAAAATGAAAACTGGAACAACTGTTTCTCTTTTAATTATAATTTACTTGGAATCATTAACTTAAATTATTTAAATTTAAAACAACACGGCAATATTATCACATTGTCATCCTCATCTAAAATGATTGGTTGATTACTACTCGATTACTCAATTGTTGGAGTTCGATCCCACTCACTACTCCTGAATTATTGCCCAGCTTTAAATAAAGAGGGTCCAAAAGTCTGAGACCACTTTCTTATTCAAGTTTCATCCTTTGTATGTTATTTGTATCATAATTTATGAGCATATTCTGTTTGGAGCTGCCTTTGTGCAATTAAAAATAGAGCTACACAGCAGCAGCTTTAAAAGCTCACAGTGTCATATTGTGTAACTCTGACAAATGACTGCGAATGCTTGCGAGCAGATGAAACGTGTCATTCAGCTCTCCTCCAGCACTGGGAGCCATCTGTTGTTTCTGTTTTTCAAAGAATCTTCAGTTCACATTTTGTAGAGAGCGCTGGGCTGTGGTGTTCCACATGTTTGTCATCAGTGGGGTCAACGTCTGATATAAGGAACGAGGAACCGGCTGACTGTAGGTGCACACAGTCATTATGATACTGTAGACGGTTGCATCACAGGGTGTGGAGCGTTAGTGACACCACTGCAACAAAGGTTAGAGCACACGACAGGACAGGCACGTTGTACCAGTTACCAGTAATCCATATCTAATGCTGATAAGCATTTTCAAGCCTTTTCATTACTCATGAATCATAAGACTGATACAATACAATGTAAATGAGGCAATTTTTTCTACATTTAAGACTAGCCCATCACAAACGTGATGTTGCAAGAAAGTAAATGAGAAATTTCACAAAGTTCTGACTAAAGTCCATTTTTCACAAGAAGTTATCAATAGTTAATTTCACTTCTTCTTCTCTTCATGTCTTCATGATGATTTTGAAAATACTGTAGAAGATATTAATACTCAATAATGGGAATGTTTGGTGGTGTTTGATCAGACTGATGGGTTTCTTATGATTCACCACAGGGCCCCGGTGACTGCCACACACCGGCTTTTACTCAGCATCACCCTGGCTTCTACCGGTCTCCTGAATTTTGGATTTTCTGTTTCCGACAACTCATAAGATGTGACGTGTAAATACAAACTCCAGGCTCTCAGCATTTTCTGTAGATTTGGGGTTGCCAATCTTTTTTGTTTTTACATTCGTCTACTGAAACAACTCTAAAGCTCTCTCTCAAGCTCTCAGTGGTTTTCTTTTTTTTTTTACTCATGTTAGGAAGTTGCAAACAGTCATACGAACATAGCACTGGCAGATCAAGAACCTACTTCGGTTCAGAATCAGTATCAGGTTGTTGTGAGCTTGACAAGGAGAGCTGAGGAATGTTGCAGAACAGACTGTGCAGAATTCAAGGAAATTACAGCACAAACATTTTATAAAGCTTTATAATTATTACTCAGCTTTTATAGCAAAGGGTACTGGCTTTATGGCCCTAGCTTTGGGAACCATTGCTTTAGGTATTACAGCTTAACAACTGACACACAGTCTTTTGTCTTAATTGTATGAGGAGGTAGAAAAGTGGTAAAATACTACACAAATTAGAAACTTAGTGTGCTGTAAAATCTGTCTCTTTCCTGATCATCTTTTATTTTCTTTCTGTTTTACAATCTAATGATATAATTCAGGTTTGAATCAGCATGGCGGTTACTTCTCTTATTTCAAACTGGATGACGAGACACAACGTGGCTCAATACGTTTAGTGTTGTCTGGCAGAAGTCGCTTTCTCTACTTCTCGTTTTCCAGTTTCCTCAACCCTTCAGTGCCAAGGCCAAACCCTTTTTCTTTTTTACATTACATTCTTGTAGTCATGTAGTTTACTTAATGGGTTTAAAACAAATATATGCCTGTGGCTATTTATGCAGCTGCATGTTTTATTTAGATAAAACTGATTCACTTAGCGACTCAGACTCAAAATTATGCAAATCTTATGATTCATACGGTGTTCGCTGTGCACCTTACATGAATCAACTTCTTCACAGCATTATTGTGACAAGAGTTCAGACTTACTGGCTTCTCTGTCACAGACTCAGAAAAAAATTACTCCATGCCATTACCCCGTATCATGAATATTGTGTACAGGTACCCAGACAAGGTGGCTCATCTTACTCACACCATTCTACTCAATACCAGGAATGCAGCGTTGAATTTACAGATAACAGAGGTAACGTGCAGTAATCCCCTCAAAGGTACTGATTCGGGAAAAGCCGTGATAGTGCATTTAAATCAAAAAGAAATCAAATAGACGCTGGTTGCTGTTCTTCAAGTTAAACACATCTGGAGACTCGTAAGACTTTCGATCTGGGCTGAAAGATGACACATCAAAACCAGCAGAGATGGAAAAGACTTCAAAAGCCAATAAGAAGCGGCTCAAAGAACCTCAGCTGTATTTGACTGACAGTTCTATATCCAGCCAGGTATCAAGGTGGCACCATAACCTGATTATATTCTTCTTTCCTGAATTCTTGAATTCAAGGACTGCAGTAACAGATCATGTGAGACAGTGAAAGAGCAGTGACAGGTTCCTACCTTGGAGGCAACAATGAGAGATCTTTTCCCCACAGGACAGACCACCATCAGCCAATCAGTGTCCAGTTCTGATGGCACGTCCACCAGCCACTCTGACAGCATGAGCTGAGGAGGATAGGGAGGTTCGTTAACAAGCTCAGCATTTCAGCTTCAATCAACATTTGTATTGGAGAGTCCAAGAATTATTGGAAAAATCTGTCAGCATTAAAGAAGAAGTGTGATGTATTGCAGACTGAGTCTAATGCCAGAAAACAGGGCTGTAATTCTAAAAACTAAAGCGCCCTCTGCTGGACTAAACAGAGAAGAATGCAGATTAAAAAAAGATACTTGAATAATTAGTTGACCTTCACACATGTGTAACAGTAATATAACTGGGTCATAATACGTCAAACACTGACCTGGTTTGCATAATGTTTCGGCAGCTTCCTCCTCTCAATCTCCATCCCCTCCTCCTCGGCATTGCCATCTTGCTGCTGTTCCCCCTCCTCCTTTTTCTCCATGTCCTCCTCCGGATCGCTGTCTGCCCCTGTCCAGTCCCCATCAGCCAGACGCCGTGCATGGTTGACGTAGTTTAACCGCTTACTTAGATGGCCAATGGAAAAAAAGAAAGCTCCTTCAGACACTTCTGCTGTGGCATTGATTGAGCTTGAGCCTACAAGTTACTCACAACATTAAAACATGCAATAAAACAGCAGCCTCCTGAAGCGAAATCAGTCATTAATTTGCATTTTATTTTTAAATTGGCCAATTGTGTCCAATTTGGAGAGAGTCATGTTAAACAGCTAACCAATATTGTGGCTGCAATGTAACTCGTTCTAAGTAGCTGGAAGCAACACAAAGCAGATGTAAATGACAACTGAAAAAGGTCTCCAGTGCATTCTGTAAATGCCACTTATCAATAGTGAGCATTCACTGATGAAAATCTGCTAATGTCGCAATGTAGAGAGCAGGGGGGCAGAAATCCATCCTCTTATTTTACACTTCAAACAAATTAATGGCAATTAAGGCAATTTAAGTACATTCCCATGTATAAACACACATACCATTTGGACTGGACAAACACTAAATAGTTTTGACATGTACCTTTTCTGCAGGTCAAGGAAGCGCCTCCGTCGCTCACTCTGCTCTAGCACACTGTACTTGCTCTTGTACTGGGCCAGCCGAGGGTGTGGGGCGGCGGTACTGTTGGGCTCCTTGGACACAGCAAAGCTGGCCGAGAGGGCTTGGGTCAGGTCATCCATGGGGACTCTGAAAATTGGTACAAAAATAATGGTTATGTAAGCATTTTCCCCCCTTTCTCTGAGACTGACCATCCACTTCCCTTAGACTACTGAGGAAAGTTATATTGGAAGGTAATGTGGTTTATGAAATGTCACTATTTACAAGCCTCAAAAACACCATGTGCTTTAGTTCATACACATATTTATCTCAGATGTCTTAAAATTATGACTGTTTTTTTTTTTTTTCCAGACATAGAGACCACATATGCAAAAGTTGGTTGATTTTTGAAGTGAAAAGAAGTAAATTCAGCAAAGAGACATTAAAGATTGAGCCTTTCTTCAAATGTTAGTGCACTGCTACCTTTTATTTCATGACATGTACAGAAGTTAATTCAGTACTTAGTAACCCATTATTTGCCAACAGTGAAGTACAAGGGTGGAAATACGAACTAGGTACTGACTAAGACCTACTTGTAAAGTTCATGAAAGACAGAGTAACAGTACATTAACAGTTGAAGAAAGGCTGAATTTTAATGTCTGCATGCTGCAAGGGACACATTTCCTTATTCTAACTTCAAAAATCAACAATATGTAATTTGCCCTGTGGTGCTGAGGCATATACATACAACTGTAATTTGCCACTCACTGTCAACATAATACGTGCTTATCTAATCATTTGTTCCCGTCTGCACCCTAGACCAGTGGCTCCCCAAATGGAGGTCAGGTACCGTAGAATACATGGACAGGATCTCACTGGTTTACTTCATATCAATGGTACATACACTCGGTTGCCAGTTTATTAGGTACATCCAGCTAAAACTAATGTTGTCTGTTTCATGCATGACCATTTGGGGGATGTTGTCTGTAGAGCTGTTGAACTGCATTGGACTAAACAGAGAGATTATTTATTCTATTATTTAACCTACCCTCACTTATACAAATTAAATGATGAATGAATACTGATTAACTGCAGGGCTGTTGTATTAGACTGAATTAAATAAAGTATATATCTATCTGTCTATTAGTTTTTGCTAGGTGTACCTAAGTAAAGTTGCATCATTAAATTGAACATTGAACTTCAGTTTTATAACAAAATAAAACATTGACTAACATGACGTTTGTAACACACTCAGACTACAAACGTCTTTGCAAACAGGTGGTGTAAACCTTCATCTAGTTGGGGTCTATTTGGATTCACTGACATCAATAAATCCCAGAGTATTACAGTTTATTTCAGCAGCTAGCGTTAAGCTATACCTGCTAGCATGCGGTGGGCCGAGCAGTCGTTAGCAACACTATGGGCTACCAACGCTACGTCACTGCTTTAATTTCTACCAACTACACATAATTATCAGGCCAAAATCAACCACTACAAAGGGAGTTTGGTCGGATAATAATCGGTAAGTGAGCTGTATAGATACCTTGGACATCCAGGGAGAGGGAAGCTGAGGAGGCTGCTGCTGCTGCTGCTGCTACTGCTGTTGCTGCTGCTGCTGCTGCTGCTGAAACGTCACGCTGTCATCTTTCCCACCGTTTCCCACCAGTGACGATATTTGGTTGGCCGATCAAGAACTGCAAACTATACCGGAGTTTTACAGAACAAAGTTGTGTACATGATGGAAATATTTTTGAATATTGTTATATCTTTATCCACTTGAGTAAAGGTATTTGCAATAAGTAATCAGACAATCAGTGGTCTAGCACATAAATCAGGGCCCCATACATATAGCTATAGTGGTTAACAGTCTGACTGAAATCACTGTGTGGCAAGTTTGCCATGAATTCAGAATTTTACTAAGTAAAAAAGAATTTGCAATAAAATTTACTTAATGTATCAAAAATAAAAGTGCTCATTATGCTTGTCAATACTATTGGATACTATAAGAAGTTAGTCTGAAAAGTAACTGGAACTGTTAAATAGATGTAGTGGAGTAAAAACTACAATATTTCCCTCTGAAATTTGGGGAGTGGAAGTAAAAAGGAGCACAAAAAAAAATAAAGTACAAAATTGTACTTATGTAGTGAACATTTACTTGTCACCAGCGCATTTTTGTTTGTCTTTGTTTGTTTTGTCTTATTATCCTGTAACTACACTCTGAACTACTTTCATATGAAATGGTGCTACAGTATACAAATTTCATTTCATGTTGAATATGATCATCTTATGGCTATTTTAGGGAACATCTGTGGAGAATGTTAACCAAGTATACACTATTAAAGTGGTTTATTATAGTGGTGACTTCCACTAAAGAAATGACAGTTTGATTTACTGTTAATTTGATGCAACTCCTACTTCTGCTATATGACCATGTTGATAATAGTTGTCATTACTATCATTATCATTACCATTAATATCATCCTCTCTATCTACTTAATGGTCAGCATCATCATCATCATTTGAAGCCTTACTATAGAAAGTGTCTCTTGGATGTTGAAGGCAGTGTTGTGGTTGATACTGCGTTTCTCCTGTTGGGGGCGGTGTTGAGCCAGTTCCTCCTCCTTCGAGGACTATAAAGGAGCTGATGAAAAAAAGGCCAACTTGCCTTCAATTGTCCAAGCCTCACGTCATGGAAAGAGTTACTTTGTTGCAGCGCGCACAGGAATAAACCTCAAGAAATAACACTGGCCCGTGATGTGTGTTGATGCTCTGTAGGAGCCGATTGTTTGGTCGCTGCCTCTGCTTTTCATTACGTTTAAAGAGTCGAGTGAAGATGCGCAGGAACCTGTTTACAAGGAAAACGCAGCAAGTTTGATTCTGAGGGAATGCGGAGCAGGCTCAAAATGCACAGGGATACCATTACTCATCCCTCTGTTTTTCTCCGCGCCGGGCCACTTTGTCTTGGAAATATTTTCATCAAGGATCTTTTGGAGGCTCCGTTATGAGAAACAAGTGTCCCAAGAGTGAACATCGCGAAGTTGCAGTCCAGTTTTTGAGGATTAAAACCACCGACGGTGTTTACGGAGGAGCTCTTTGAAGAATCCAGCTTTGTTTTTGAACCTGTTGAGTTTGTGATGCGAAATGAGGTAGAGACTCTCTCTGTTGTAAGGGAGTAAATGTGTTGTAGAGCATCTATAGCTTAAAGTTATTGTTAGATTTTCAAGCATAATAGATAATAAGACAATAGAGCCAGAGCCTCAATGGGCTGAGGATGCTAGTGGTCAGAGTAGGTATATCTTAGACTGAGTTTCGGCGGATAGAACTAATAGTGTTACATAACTGTTTACTTTTGCTGTGTTTCTTAAGTATCTGATCATTAAATTTACATAGGCCATCTTGTGCTGTTGCACACCTGATCCAAAAGCTGCCATGTAATTTGAGATGAGTTTTAATATTACAGTGAGCTTGTGTCAGATGTTTCCCAGCATGCATCAAGACAGTAGCATCAATATAATATAGGCACTATGTGCATGTAGAATCAGCTGGTTTAGGACTTCCCACTGGAGTATCAAGATGTCAGTGAAAGCCAAAGCCATCTACACTTTTCTAAGTGAAAACAAAGAAGAGATCAGCATCCAGGAGAATGAGGAACTGGTTATCTTTGATGAGAACTCAGTGGACGGCTGGTTTCAGGGGGAGAACAGCCGGGGAGAGAGGGGTCTCTTCCCAGCGTCATATGTGGAAATTATTCGCACTCGCTCAAACTCTAATGTGACTGACTGCTCCATCAGCCCGGCAGGCTCTTTAGAAAAGGACTCCTCCTATTTCCCCTCATACCCAATCACCCCTCCCCATTTGCAGCAACCATATGATGACGATGAAGACGATGACTGGGACGACTGGGATGACAGGTCCACAGTGGTGGATGATTCTGACCACGCTAGGAGCCCGGGAGCCAATGGACATGCTCATCAGAGCCCATTATCCAACAACCCCAATGTGCACTACCGGCCCAAACCGCACATGGAGAGACAGGACAGCATCTCCAGCTCCAGGAAGGGCAGTATGGTGGGCAGGAACTTGAATCGATTTTCTAGCTTTGTCCGCTCAGGGGTGGAAGCATTTGTTTTGGGCGATGTACCCATGATGGCAAAAATAGCTGAGTCGTACACCATCGAGATGGGTCCCTTGGGGCCCCGGTGGAAGGAGAACCCACAGCCTTTCTCCTGCTCCATTGAAGACCCCACAAAACAGACAAAGTTCAAGGGCATCAAGACCTACATTTCGTACCGGGTCACACCGAGCCACACAGGACGTCCTGTCTACAGGCGCTACAAACACTTTGACTGGCTGTACAACCGCTTACTGCACAAGTTCACTGTGATCTCCGTGCCTCACCTGCCTGAGAAGCAGGCTACGGGGCGATTTGAGGAAGACTTCATCGAGAAGCGTAAGAGACGACTGATACTGTGGATGAACCACATGACCAGTCACCCAGTCCTCTCCCAGTACGAAGGCTTTGAGCACTTTCTGATGTGCGCTGACGACAAGCAGTGGAAACTGGGAAAGAGGCGGGCGGAGAAGGACGAGATGGTGGGCGCCCATTTCATGCTGACACTCCAGATCCCTAACGAGCACCAGGACCTACAGGATGTAGAGGAGCGGGTCGACTCCTTCAAGGCCTTTGCTAAAAAAATGGATGACAGCGTGATGCAGCTCACACATGTTGCCTCAGAGCTGGTGCGTAAACACCTGGGTGGGTTCAGGAAGGAGTTCCAGCGGCTGGGAAATGCCTTCCAGTCTATCAGCCAGGCATTCATGCTGGACCCTCCGCACAGCTCGGACGCCCTCAACAACGCCATCTCCCATACAGGCCGCACCTACGAGAACATTGGAGAGATGTTTGCAGAGCAACCTAAGTATGACCTCTTCCAAATGCTGGACAAGCTGTCGCTCTACCAAGGCCTGCTCGCCAACTTCCCCGACATTATTCATCTACAGAAAGGTAATGAGCTCTTCTACGAGTCGTTTTTATGTGCGAGGGGTTTCTCTGATGTCCTTATACAGTTTAACTCCATTTCCAGGAAATGGATAAATGTAATAATAGTAAAAGAAAACCCATAATTACCACAGGTGTTTGGATGCATCCTCAGCCTCCCATCAATTTTTCATTCCCGCATTGGCTCTCCATTTAAAATTAGAAAATGATAGCTTAGTTTTCGCAGCCATCTGGCCACATAGTGGGCTTTTCATGTCACACCAATTGAATTTATCAGAGGATATGTCTGTCTTGAAGAGAGAAGGCTCTTCGAGGGTTTAGCAGATTATCATTGAACCTAAACATTCAGACACAACCACCAATAACAACTTTGGAACAAGTGTGATTGTGTATCTGCTTGTTGTGCATCCAACAATTGAGAGAAGCAGCTACTACATTGGGAAATTGAAAAAGCTTCAGTGATAGTGAAGAATAACTTGCGAATGGGTGCAGACTAAGCATGTTTTGTTTCTCAATCTGGGCTATTTATTTTGCCATGGACGACAGATGAGGTCAGGTTTTGCCTCCAGCAATGTCCTGCTCCTTTCTTCACACACACACACACACACACACACACACACACACACACACACACACACACACACACACACACACACACCATTACACACACACACACACACACACACACACACACACACACACACACACACACACACACACACCATTTTACACACCAAAATAAAACATGGTGTGAGTATGTTTTATGTGTCAGTCTGCAGTGAATATTTAGGTTAGAGTGTTTGCCTGCAGCATCTGAGGTCATTTGCACCACCGCCTTGACTCCCAACCACCCTGACACACACACACACACACACACACACACACACACACACACACTACCATATTCTCTCACTTTAAGAAATACTTTCAAACGTGTGAGGGGAAGGTAGAGAATTGACATCATTTATGTATCTCTTCCCTGGTGTTAACCCTATACTGATCATATTATAAATTACAAATCATTGAAGGCATAGGTACATAATGTACTTCAATAGAAAATCAGACCACTGTAATATTGATGAGATATTCAGTGTCACTTAACAACATGCGTACAGTCCAAACTAAACTGTATGTATCAAGGAGCTTAGGTCTCACATTTTCACATCTCACAACGCTCTTATATTACTGATATTATACAAAGTGTGTTTTCTTAGACTGTCATTAGTAACTATTTACCTGACTAGTGATATAACAATATCGCCATTAATCTCACATTTAAAGTTGTGTGTTTTTGTAGTGGAGGTTCACCTCAGATTCCTTTGGTCTCTGTTCAAAATTTGATGAGACCAAGCGGCACAAGCTTTGTTGTGGTGGAATAATACAGCCAGCAGCCATGATTTAACAAGGACACCTGAGTATCATCGGCAGGGAGTGGTGTATGGACTGGGCAATCAGAATAAGTGGCATGTTATCAGGTTGCCTTAGCTATTGTGACCTTGGTCTTCCACAGTAATTTGGTTTATTCTGTAGGTACAAACTGTAACTAAATATCATTTGAGGCAATGAATCAATGGTAAATTGGAAGTTCAGCTTTTAGTAAACGTACAGTATCACAGTAGGATGTGACGTTGTAATCCTTAAAATTTCTGCTCCTTTTTATTGAGTTTGGTGACATCCGTGGTGCTGAACATTCCTGTAGTCTTTTAATCTGGCGGTTGTCTGAGACAACTTGTTAACTTGTTGAAATCTTTATCCTTATTGTTTTGGTTGTGTGGCTAAGAAATACAAATGCCAATTACCCATTTTGTTATTCATGTGTGTGTGAAGTCATTAAGTTTTCTCATACCTGCTGCCGGAAAGGTAAGATACATCTCCTCGTTTCCACCCAGCAGACTGTAGTTGTTCAGAGCAGCAGATAAAAGTTTCTGTGAAATAATAAAAAGTTCACTAATCACTAATTTTACATGAACTGACATAAGAATGTGAAAGGCACATTCATTATTTTGAAAATGCCACACATCATTACTGTCACCAGGTCATACAGGTCACTCTGGGCCCTGCAGTCACCACCACTTTTCTTCCTTTAAACCTTTCAGACCTCACATGTATACAAACGTGGAAAAATAGAGCCACCGTTACTTTGCAAGAAGTGATTCAGCCTGTTTGCAATTATCAGTGGTCACATTTGTGAATGACAGCATAAATGTCATGTTCAACATTCACTGCTTACAGTATATTGGTGAAAACGTCTTGTGCACATGCACCACCACTCTCCTGTATTAGCATAATGGTGCTTAATCATTAACATAGTTGACCTGAAATCATAAAGCACGCTGTTATGTCGTAACGGGAACATTCCTGATTTGAATACTCTGCCACAGTCGTGTTTTTTACGGCTGATTTTCATAAAGCACATCGTGACGTATTAGTTCTGCTCACTCATGTCTACAACTCGAGCATTATCTGCTGTTAACCTTGTTACATTTTTGACCAACACAGCTATCAAACAAGTAACCATATCAGCTGATTCAGGAGGAAGGAAAGGGCTGCGACCAACCATGAGTAATGCTGCTGGTAGATGTTGTTATCTTCTTTAAGCAGCTGGTGCTCATTATCGCAGAGTTCATTTGTGATACAGTTCAGCTAGTTACATTTAGGTACTCCACCCAGGAATAAATGAGATAAACAAAGCCATCTGAATGATATTAATGGGTCAGTCCACCCATATCATGAAATATGAAGATTATTAATGAAACCCGGTGGTGTCAGGTCACGTGGATAGTTTCAGTTTCATGCAGAGCTTTTGAGATATCCGCCTCAGAAAATTTAATATTTAAATGCTTGGCACACCACAGAGAAAAATCCACTCACCTTCATTATACTGGGATGACTGAGGGGAATATCTTAAATCTTTGGCACAAGAAGTCAAAATATTTGCTTGGCTACATAGTTATGAGTCAAGAGTTATTGTTTGGTGCAGCGACTCTTACAAGTATAAAGTTGAACAGCCAAGCTTATGGAGGCTCATGTTAGTTAATATTAGTAAACGCAAGCTGGATATTGCTTTGATGGAACTGATATTAATGAGTCAGTTTTCTGGCTTTATGACTCTTCTCTATTGTGCTAATGTTATACTATGTATGTGTCATCATTTACCTTTATCCTGTAAGTTTTACTTGTAGTAACAATGGCCACTGTCAATCAGAAAGGTACTTAAAGGGAACATTATCAAAACTCGGATAAAATGAAGAAAGGTTTCAACGTGTTTTTGCGATCATGTTTGGCAAAAATGCTAATAACAGATTACAGAGGGATTATCTGTAACATCAAATAATATTTGTTGAATAACCTTAGTTATTTTATGGCAAATTCTGTCAACATACTTTTGTACATACAACCAAGACTGTTTTTGTTTTTGCAGCTTAGCTTAACTATACTCTGTTCTTGGACTTGGAAAAGTAGGACTATGTATCTGTTTTGATTACAAGTTGGCAACTGACCACATTCTTTTGTTGTTTTTGTGATTCTGACTGAAATGCGTCTTTAGTAATGCGGATAGAAAGTTGTATTACTGAAAGTTGGCATCAAATTACAGGTCATTTGCAGTCTTGTTAACTTATTCTTTAATTAGATTGTTCCTTATTTAAAGGAGCTATTTGTAAGTTTTGCTATTGCTACATTTAGCGTTAGCTAATTACTGTTAGCATTAACAGCTGTTTGCTTACCAGTCTAGAAGAATCGCCACGAGTTCAGCATCAAACTTCATTCCTTTATTCTCCTAGAGCTGTCTCCAGAGATGGAAAGCAATTCTAGTGTTAACTCTTGTCTCTCACTTCTTTTCTTCTACTGGAGTTAGCATGCTAACCAGCTAGCCCCAACCTGTCTTGTCACTTTCAGATAGCGACTCACTGTAGCCTCCAATCCGCCCTGCAGACATAGCGCTGCTCAGAGGGAGTATTATAACCTTTTGCATTAAAAAGACTGGTAAGAAGTAAAGGAACAATTCAACATTTTAGGAAATATATTTATTTACTTTCTTACTGAGAGTTGGATGAGATGATCAATAACACTTTCATGTCTATACGGTAAATATGAACCAGCAGCTAAGAGATGGTTAGTTTAGCTTAGCATAAAGACTGGAAGCAGGGGAAAACAACTAGTCTTTGTCCAAGGGCAACAAAATCTGCCTACCAGCACCTCTAAAGCTTAGTAATTATCACATTAAAAGGTGTTTATTTAAACCATAAAAAATGAAATGTATGAATGATAACATGATATGTTCTGTGCCAAACAGTTTATATTTTTTGCTGTACAAGAGAAAGTTGCGCAGCAGTGTTTTTGTTCAGACAGAATCCGTTTCCCTCTGCTGAGTCTTCCCTGCCGGTCCAGATAACTCCCCTTGATGTGTCTTGTGTTCTGCTGAACCAGATACAGCTGTGGCAACACTCAGAACACACAGAACTGAGGTCAACCTTTTCCGGTGCGCTCCTCCTCCTCTTCATCTCCTCATTGCTTTTTTCCTGTCTAACTTTCCCCTTCACTGAGGTCTATAGAAGCTGTTTTTAACCGTGATCCTGGTGAGCATGTGATCTGCAGGAATGTTAACTGTCTTTGAGATGCTGTGGTGGGCAGCTAGTGACTGCATGTGGCCTTGATAAAATGGCTTTAGGGAGGAGAAGGTTTTGGGTAATGTCAAGAAAAATGTCAGGGTGTGCTCCTTAAATCTTTTCGCCCCATTTTCTCTCTTTTGGCTTTTACTCAACAGATATTCTTTATTGGTCTCTGCTGTTTCTCAATCTGCAAATCAGTCTGTCACTAAGGCTTCACCTCTGGTTTGTTACAGGCTCTTCATGTCTCTCTGCTTCCTTTCATCTTTTTCCCTCCTGTTTCCCCCCAAAGACATCCATATCAGAATTGTCTGTCTGGGCTGCTGTCCTGGTTTCAATAACAGAGAAAGTAAATCTAGTCTGGTCCAGAGGGTTGGACTCCAAACAGTGCATTGCAGT